GAGCTAATAAGTACATTTAGGTGTTAATATGTACATTTTGGGTGCTAATATGTACATTTTGGGTGCTAATATGTACATTTTAAGTGTTAATATGTACATTTAAGTGTTAATATGTACATTTTAGGTGCTAATATGTCCATTTCAGGAGGTAATATGTCAATTTCATGAGCTAATATGTCCATTTTAGGTGGTAATATGTACATTTTAGGTACTAATATGTACATTTTAAGTGTTAATATGTACATTTTAGGTGGTAATATGTCAATGTCATAAGCTAATATGTCCTTTTCAGGTGGTAATATGTCCATTTTAGGTGCTAATATGTACCACTAAGGTACCAATATGCAGCCTTTGGGTACAAAAGTGTACCTTTTGAAAAGGTACAGCCCCAGTGACTGCTTTTGTACCTTTTTTTCTGAGAGTGCATTAAAAATAACATTTAAATATATATTTATTTATATAATATTTGAATTTTGAAGTGCTGGAAAAAGATGTGTGAAGTACTTGAAAGCATTTCACCATTCCAGCCAAACTGGTTACAGTTAGTGTTACTATATTAAATCCATGGTGAATGTTGCTGGTCTGTGGACGTAAAGTACTAGTTCATTCACGGCACAATGTTTCTCCTGGTTTCCATGACAGCGCTGTTTGATCTAATAGAGATCTACGGTCAATAACGAAGAAATGTGAACGCTTCTCACTAGATCTCGCAGCGATGTTATTACCTCAGTGGCAAATTCAAATGTTTTCTTTACTGGATCTCTTAGCGCTGTGTGGGAACAGTGTTGCTTGATCGAGATCGGCTCGCGCTGCACAGATGTTGCTGGTCCGAACTGATAAACGATCCGTGAAGCACATAACGAGTAGCGCAGTTTCGTTTTCAGTTTTCCTTTCATTACGCTTGCCATTGATGTTGCGCAACGTTGTGTTGGCCGCGTCAGCACGAATTTTGCCGGCAGGAAAAATGGTCCAAGCAATCGTTCGGTTTGCATGCGTACCGAACTAGAAGCCTCGAACCGAAACGGTTCAATACGAATACATGTACCGTTACACCCCTATAGGGCAGTGAAGCAAGTGCATTCTGGGAGTTGTTGTCTTTCATCCACATAAGCAAAAAATAAATTTTCTGGCTTTTCTCAGTCTAGAAAGCTCCAAATTCAAAAATAATTTCACAATTCTTCCACATAAATGACCCAATTTAAATACAAATTCATCTTTCCAGTATGGAAAAATGAATGGACTTTCCTTACAGTATTTTTTTTTTAAGTATCCCTTTAAAATAACGTCACTTACATAAACAAATATTCAAATATTCGATTTTTATGAGCCCAAATATTTGAATGCAATATTTTTGAAAAATGTCCATTCCTAATTCAGACCACCACCAATCTGTGTGCCAAACCTTCTAACTTTCTTCCAAATGCTTCTACAGGATGCCATACAGAGGAACAGCAGAGGAAACGGATTTAAAAAATGTCCGCCAATAAAACAATAGGGGTTAGACACTGCGTTTGGCCCATAGAAATTAGAACAGTAAACTGCAGTGGCAATAACAGGGAGGAACTCAACACAGTGGCAACAAGTTAAAAAAAAATCATCTCACTCTTATGTTTTCTCTGAGCCGTCATGGCAGTGCTCTACATTTCACAGCCTGGTACAGTTTATTCTGCACATTCCCACATGGCGAGCTCACCGCATGTCCAAAAACGACAGCTCAACCAAAACACACACAGTGCTGTGGTCCAGTATAAGTCACCTAACTGGTGCAAAGGAGTCTGTAATTCTGGAGTAACAGACCTCTGAGTAGACTTTTGGAAAGTCTGGTTACACACTGCAAAATGTACATCTGGGTCAAGAACTGCTCGCGTAGACAGGATTAGACCGTCTAGTAACTGACATGGAAAATGACCATCAGTGGTCATTTTGTGTCTAGTAGAGGAAATAAATACCATAATTTCTAGGGGGGTAATGATTCATCTATGGTTCAATGCATTAATCAGATGACTAATGATATAATGTGTTGAAAAAAATCAATATGCATTTTTATATATTATCTATAAGATATAATGGATGACTTGACTTGAATGAGTTAACAACTTTATTTTTGAAATGTCTTTTTATGTGTATTTTATTATTTTTTTTCAAGTCCCTCGTTTTGTTGTGGATGTATTTTGGAGACTAGATTTACACATTTTAGAGAGCACAGAAGTCTCTTGACTGTTGTCATTGCTCTCATCTAATTGCACAAGCACAATATGATTGATGATCTCATGTGCAACATTTTCATTATTTATTTATTTGAGATACAGATTAGAGTTTGCAATTTTTGAGAGTTCAAATAAATGTTCATGTATGTTATATATTATTTTGGTTGCGTTTGTGAGTCAACAAAAATTTAACTGGAGGTGTAAAATAGGTAATATTGATATCTATCGATCTCAGATCCTTGAATCTAATAGCAAATGTTGCATCGCTGGCTAAAATAATCAATGTCAGATAATATTATGATGAAACACCCCTAGTAAAATAATCAAAATAAAGTCTTATAACTGTTAAAATGTGATCAGAATTTATAGACATCCTAAAATAATAAGTATATACAGAGCAAAGAAAACAAAGCTAATGTGGATGTCCAGTTTACCTGCTTCTAAGCCAATTGCACACTCCAGTTCACCTTTAACCTTAATTATAACAACGCATAATCGAACCCACAATCGAGATAAACATAATCTGTGCTCGGAAATACAGATCATTTAAAGCGTTTCGACCTCCCACAAAGCACTAGAATTAGTTTATTATTTCCAGACTGACAGCATAGAGTGCCCTGCTGAAACAGACACACAACACAGCTTTTGTTTTGGACGTAACACAACCCTCACCCTGGCCACTAGCACAATGTTATTAAATGAGTGTTTCCCTGCAGGCCACCAGAGTCACCCCAGAACCATAAAAACGTCCCATCATGATCTACAGCCTGACAACCAGTCCCTGGTGCGGTGGAGCCGGTGAGGGCAATTAAGAAATCCCGCTTTGATTCCAGTTGGCACCGCAGAACCATTAGAGAGAAAAAAAAACACATTTTCCGACATTTGTTTTAAGCTTCAAAGTGCATTTGTGCCTCGCAGCTTTATTAAACAAAGCCAAACAGGGATGGAAGGATGACTTTTGAACCTAAATCTCTACAGGTGTGTCGTATTGCGAGACACACAAACTTTCCGAATCATTCCAGGGGATCCTCTAGCGCCGAGCACATGGCTATCCTTCAGCAAAGCAGATGTGCAGTAGCGTATAATGGACATATTGTGAAGACATGGGCTCAAGACATCCAGAACTAGAGGTCTTTTCATGCCCGTTTCTATCAACTACTACATGTGTTTACATATGGTACCAGCACCTGTTATTGGCCAGCTGGATATATCAACCAAGAGACGGGGTTCCCACGCTTTCTGACCAATGACTTTCCATGACTTTTACAGTCGTTTGTGATTAACCGAGAATAATCACTGCGGAGATTGCATTAAAAGACAAGAGCTGAGCATTGCTATGTATAAAATAGACTCCATTATAGAAATATTCACATTACTTTTTGAGATTTTTACACAATTTTAAAAAAGTCCTTGTTTTTCATGACCGTGGGAACTCTGCATAGTAAATCCATGGAAAGCTTTCCTAAGGCTAAAAAAAGGAGTGCCCTCTTTTAACAGCACACATTATGACTCAGCATTAAAACTCATTACAAACTCTTTTGATTTTAGGCCAAGATGTGACCTGGACATGATGAGATTCACCTGCAAGTTAAGTATCTTTAAGTACCCTAAAAAGTCTTCTAAATAAAATATTAGGGATGCACAATATATCGGCGACCATATTGGTATCGGGTTATCGTTATCGGCTCAATAAGAAAATTTGTCCGATTTATTAAAACTAATATATAATGGATTATTTCCTTCAGCTGAGACACTTCAGATGCACACTGATGGTTTTGAATTGCTTGAAATATGATTGGGACAAAAAGGAAAATATGTTTAAGTGCACTGCTGTCATATAGGCTACAAAAAATTACAATAATAACATTAGGCCTAAATATAATTGTGTGCTTATACATGGCTTTTAATAGTGGGTTTTTTGTTTTTGTAATCAGGCTCTCAAAAATTATATAAAAATTTGGATTTAGATTTATCAGCCAATACATCGGTACACAATAAGTACACTACTAGTCAAAACCAACTAATTAATTATTAGGACAAATATCCACAATTTAGAATAATAAAGTCAACAAAACTATGTAATGATAACACAATTAGACGCTTTTTCTATCTGGTCTGTTTACATTCACTACTATTTTGTATGCTAAACAAATGTAAAACATTTATACTTGTCTACATAACTAACTTCAAGAATGTAAACAGAATCATTTAGATGAAAAGGTATGTTTATGTCAACAACAACGAATTCAGTGAAGTGTCAATCATCTGTCAACCGTTGGACTGGTGACGTACTAATAATGTGAATGGATTGGAAGGGAGTTTGAGAACGGTAGCTGCTAACGTTATCTATAATCAAAAAAAAAACACAAAAAAAAAACTATGAGGAAAAGCATATTATGAACCCATGGAGAAATTTTATTCATAATAAATGTAACGTTAAATAATACTTCCCACCACACTCTGCGACCCAAAAATTCGTGAATTCCCATTATAAGAGCAGATAATCCCAGCAGGAGACGCCATTAATCCAACTAAATGTGTAAAAGAGATTTCAGACAACATTTAAACAGTTCGTAAACCACACACACACCGGTTTCACACAACAGAGAAGAGGACAAGCCCCGGCATATTCCCGTTTAATCTGAGATCAAGAAACGCGAACGAAACAAATTAAGTTAACGTTAGATATCAAACTCCAACTTAACTCTTGAACCTTTGGAAATGATGTGGGCACACTTTAAACACTTCATTTATATCCACTGGCCAGCTCTGAAGATGTAAATTCTACATTACCTGATTTATGTCATGAATTATCCGTCAGGGAAAAGTTTTGAGCCGCTTCTTCTCTCGCTCACACACAGACAGTTGGAAGCGCGCGCACGACTCCTCCCTCTGAGCGCGCGCGCTGAGGTCATCACGACGTCAAAAGTAAAAAAGTATGTTTACTATCAAGGGGGATTTTCTCGATAGTGAGGTGTCTTAAGTGTTGAGGTAATGCTAGCTCCGATTATTGGATTGTTTGATCATGTTTAATCACGATTGTTTAATCATATGATCATGATCATTATAGTGACTAAGAAGTGAACTTTCAACTTTATCTCCTGTCTCTTTAATAAAGATTGTTAGAGTGCAGATCCGATGACAAAAATTATCAAACATTTTTTACATTTTAATTCATAACTTTTGGTTACAAAAAACTACTAATTACATTCCCACAATTATTACTCAGTAAAAAAAATAGAATAATTAAGCTCGATAAATATAGCCTTTCGTGACAACAGCCCGGGACATTATAATAAAACTGTTACCTATGAACTGTCATAAGATTTTTAGCACATAATAAACAGAAAACAATATAAGCTTATATATTTGTTTGGGTTTCTTATTTAAAAGTAATAGGCCAAGTTAAAATTTAATTCCAAAGTTTTTATCTTTGTCTTTTTAATAGGTTCCTCAGACCTAAAACCCGGTAAGCTGATATTATTGAGGTTTTAATCATCACAAAGTAATCATGCACTGTTCAGACGTGACTGGAATCTCTGAGAACACGTAAATCTTACATTTTCAGTTATCAAAATTGCATTTTGTCGATTAAAAAACTGCACAGGGTAAAAGTGATAGTAATGGATCAAAATAGATCAAATTTTACTGAAAAGTAATAGATCAAACTTCCCCAGTGGATTAATCACAGACTCTTCTGGACTGGTGAAAATGCAGGTGAAAGATATGAACAGAGCTCTTTGTAAAACCTTTCAGAATACAGGGATTAAAGTAAAGTTTGGTGTATGTAAGGGTTATGATGAGGAGATTTCTGAGAATAAAACTCACAGACTTTATGTATTGAAATTGAAATCTAGATGCAAATAGATAAAGTGCGATAAAATAAACTCTTAAATGTGTATTTTGCGTGTTTCTGACAGAAAGAGTTATGGAAGCAAAATAGCATTTTGAAATTCACTGATTCATGGTAAAACATGGGTCTGCCTTTAGTGTTAAGTCTGCTTTTTTGAGCTATTAAAACATATATTCTCTCAGATCTCAAACAACGTTAATGAGAAAGTCAGGCGCAGGTTGTAGCCTAAACTAAAGCACCAGAGGCAGCACATTACAGTGATTTTATCACAATGCAAAGTGGAGGATTCTATGGAAGCTTGTTTCCGCCACTGAATAAAAAAATAAAATAAATAATTGCGACTTTTTATCTCACAATTCTGACTTTTTTTCTCACAATTGCGAGATAAAAAGTCCGAATTGCGTGATATAAAGTCGCAATTGCGAGTTATAAAGTCAGAATTGCGAGATATAAAGTCAGAATTGCGAGATATAAAGTCAGAATTGCGTGATATAAAGTCGCAATTGCGAGATAAAAAGTCAGAATTGCGAGATATAAAGTCGCAATTGCGAGATATAAAGTCAGAATTGCGAGATAAAAAGTCAGAATTGCGTGATATAAAGTCGCAATTGCGAGTTATAAAGTCAGAATTGCGTGATATAAAGTCGCAATTGCGAGTTTTAAAGTCAGAATTGCATGATATAAAGTCAGAATTGTGAGATTTAAACTCTTCTGATGGGGGAAAAAGAATTGGCCTAATAAGTCGCAATTGCGAGTTTATATCTCACAATTCTGAGAAAAGATGTCAGAATTTCGACATATAAACTCGCAATTATGTGTTATAAAGTCAGAATTGCGAGATGTAAACTCGCAATTGTGAGAAAAAAAGTCACACTTCTGTCTTTTTTTCTCAGAATTGCGACTTTATATCTCACAATTCTGACTTTATATCACGCAATTCTGACTTTATATCTCGCAATTCTGACTTTATAACACACAATTCTGACTTTATAACTCGCAATTGCGACTTTATATCACGCAATTCTGAGAAATAAAGTCAGAATTGTGAGATATAAACTCGCAATTGTGAGAAAAAAAGTCAGAATTGTGAGAAAAAAAGTCAGAATTGTAAGATAAAAAGTCACAATTCTTTATTATATTTTTTATTCAATGGCGGAAACAAGCTTCCATAGGATTCAATCTTGAATCTGAATAAAAAAAATTAAAAAAAACATTAAACCTGTTTTTTTTTTTTTTTTTTTTTTTTGAAACTGTTTAGTCAGCCTGAAATGAACCAGAAGCATATGAAAGGCAAGATTTACCGCAGGAAAGATGCTTGTGTAGAGAATTCCTCTGACATGTTTAACTGCTGTTGCAGAGGTTCTGGCTGGCAGTAGATGTGAATGTGAATGTGATGAAGTCTTTAATGCAGCTTTGACCTTTGCATTTTACCGGGAAACACTCATGTGGTGAGTCTAAAATAGACCCAGATCTCTACAGCAGCTGTCCTGCAGATGTTTGCAATAATAAGAGGTTGTAATTACAATTCAAAGTGAACTGGATATGCTGTTAGCCGAGTGTGTGTGATGTTCATTTATATTTTTGGGCGCTAACTGAATGCTGACACCCTGCGGTACAGAGAGGTATTGCACACAATATGTGTTGTAGTACAAAACCTGTGAATGAAGTTACCTTACAATATAAAAAAAAACTATTATATTACACAAAAACAATACATTTAATTTTACAGTTTTGTCACACACACACGCACAGCCTATATATATAGTAGTCAACATTTGAAGTGGATCAAAAACATTGGGTTAGAGAAGTTGTCCAAGAAACAAACAGATATTGTTCAAAACTGATGTATAACTTTGATGAAAGGTTTTGATCCACTTCAAATGTTGACTATTGTATATATATATATATGAAGAGTTCAGATGCAAAAGCCTCTAAGTGCCATTTGAAATTTTCTTCTAAAATGATAATTTTTATCAAGCTTGTATATTTAAGTTCAGTAATTTCACTTAAATGGCAATGAAGATTACCTATTAATTGCCATTTAAGTGAAATTACTGAACTTAAATATACAAGCTTGATAAAAATGACCATTCTAGAAGAAAATTTCAAATGGCATTTAGAGGCTTTTGCATCTGAACTCTTCATATATATATATATACACATACACACATGTGTTTGGTAGACGCTTTTATCCAAAGCTAACACTGTAAAAATTTCTAACCTCCCAACTCAAAATTTTCTAGTGACTGGTCACATCTATATTTTTTAATTTCAATTGAATTAAAAAAAAAATCAATTTGCAGAATTTCACTTCAAAAATATAGAAAATTTTGAGTTGGGAGGTTAGACATTTTTTACAGTGTAGTACTTATTGCATTCAAACTACACTTTTTTTTTTACTCATGCATTCTCTGGGAATCGAACCTATTACCATGGCATTGCTAGCACCATATTTGAGCTACAGAAAAGCTAAATAAACTGCCAATTTCAAAATCATACTATATTTCACTTGAAACTCAAATGTATCAAGGCAACATTCTCATATCACTTTGACTATCATCATAAAGCAGTAACTCTTTACACAAAGTAAAATGAATGTGGGAAATAGTTTAGAAACCATCTTAATCTTCAGCAGTATAATGTCGATATAATGTTGATATGCAGCGATCACATGTGTTGGGCAAAATTCAACTTAATTGGAAAGGAAATTACTGAATTACAATAACATAAATTCAACAGTCAGACAGTAAAGGAATTTCAGTGATTCAGTTTTCCAATCAAAAATAACAGATTGCATTATTGACCAGCTGATGGTCCTCGGTCACTGTTTTTTTTTTTGTTTGAATTATTGAAAATCACAGCTTCATCAGAAGGTTATGATACTTGGTGACTTTTTTGGCATTTGGTATGATTCTGCGTTTTTTCTCTATACTGTAACCAGATGGTGCTAATTTTGTTCAATTTTTTTTTTTCTGAAGGCCTAGAATCTATATAAGCTAAAATACTGCATTAATAATTATTTTTTTTAAATAATATATATAGAAAAAAATATATATATTTCCATTGAAAAAATAGACTATAAATATTGCGTAAATATTAATAAATTCAATCAAATTGTCTCAAAATACTAAATTAAAAAGAATAAATATTATAGAACAAAAATAAATTGCATTGGTTTTACTGGGATGGAAGAAGTTTCATTTTTAGGCCTCCGCTCACTTCTGACCAAGAAGGCCCAGGACGTGACTGGGAAGGCAGAGGACGTGAAAAAAAAATATATATATATATATATTTCCATTGAAAAAATAGACCATAAATATTGCATAAATATTAATAAATTCAATCAAATTGTCTCAAAATATTAAATTAAAAAGAATAAATATTATACAAAAATAAATTGCATTGGTTTTACTGGGATGGAAGAAGTTTCATTTTTAGGCCTCCGCTCACTTCTGACCGGGAAGGCCCAGGACTTGACTCATAAAGGAAGACCATCAGAGGGTTAACTTTCCCTGATATGTTGATTAGATATATTTAACATTGTCATTTTGAAGACTTTTAGTTCAGAGCATTCTTAGAAAATGTGTTCTTCCAAAAAAAAGTGTTTGTTTGTCTTTTACAAATCAAACCCAAATGTCTATCATTTGGCCATTCATATATTTTATTGCAGTTGTGTTTTTCTAGCAGCTCCAATACTGGACAACCAAGTCCCAATGAGATTCACCACAGGATTCAATGTGTATGTGATAATCCTGCTGTAATCTACAACACACACACCTGTTGAGAGCTTTGACCGCAGCAGCCTGAGAATGTGAATCCATCATTATAGCTGGTCATCAGCTGCTGACTGAGATGATTTGTGATGTGGTTGTGTTCCCACATGAAGGCTTCAGCTCGTGTAATGCGTGCCGTTAAAGAGACACACATGTAAAGGCTCTGAAAGATCTTCAACATGTGGTTAGTTAGATCACACTGCTCTGAGATCACATGCGAGCGAGTTTCCTCCGTCTATAGCTTTGATGTCTTCTGCATCTACACGCTTGCAACATCAAACGGAGAAAATATTGGTGTAAAATAACAGCTTTTAATAGGAAATACACAAGTTTGCAATAGCATACTCTCACAGAATGAATACGCTGCATGCACATATTTCCACACAACCTCTTAAATCTGCATAAACTACTGCATTGCACCTTTTATTTGTTATTTTGGGGAACGTTTATATTCATTGATGCAATTGCCTTAAAACAAAGCCATTGTTTTCTGTTTAATTCCAAGACATTTCAGTAAATTGAGAATTTCAAAAATTAAAAGTGGTTGAAGATTCGTTATTTATTTATTTCCCCATTTCCTTTTCATGTTCTTTAGGAACATAATTTGGACTTGCCTTATTTTAATTAGATTTAAAGAAAGAAAGAAAAATAATAAAGTGTAATGCATTCGATTTTTATATTTCCAGTGTGACAAATGAATTAAAAGTAATATCACAAGTTAGTTTCAGCATATCTTTCTTGACTCGTTATTTTATTAAACTGTTAAAAAGTTAATGTTGTGTTTCAAGCATGCTTCATAAACACTGGATTTGCATTTTGGGAAATGAAATTTTAACTCAGCATAGGGTAACCCAGGATTAAAAAAAAGCTGGAACAAATGTAATTTTGTTAGAAAGTGGCTCACGGCGGACAATGAGATTGAAATATGCTTCACACAAATACATGTATGCAAAACAGCTTGTGATGTGAAATATATCAGGCATTAGAATCCGTAGAATTAGAAATGGAAAAGGGGATTTATTTGTGGGATATTTGTAAGCCTCATGCCATGCAATGCCTTTATAATCCCTGTGCGTCTCTAATCCACATACAGGTAAACCGGGATCCTTTACTTAACTCCTGATATCGATTCAACCAGCCGCAATCTCTATTAGCTCAGATCAAGAAGGAATATACGAGGGAAAAACAAGGAAAGAGAAAGAGAATATGGACAAATCTCAAACATATTTTTTTTCTTATATTAATTTTTTATTTCATGGTTAATTTTAAGAAAAATATAGCCATTTTTGGACCATTAATATACACTACCAGTCAAAAATTAGGAAAAATTTTGTCTTTAAAAGAATCTGCTCTTTATTTGAAAAAATAAAATACAGTAAAAACGATAGTATTGTCAAATATTACAAATTAAAGGAACATTTTAAAGTAAAATTAAAGGAAAGAAAATATAATTTATTCCTGTAGCAAAGCTACACAATTTATTCATTCCATATTCGAATAATTCTAATTATAATTTTAGTCCTGTAATTATATTTCAAGAGCATTGACAATATTTTGACATTTAACCATAATGCAATTGATTTGTTTTATTTTTAGGAAATTCCTATTATAGTTGCATTACGAGAATGAGAATTTAAGTGAAGCATGCTTTTTTTTAAGTTGCAAATTCATACATGAGCAAAATTTATATTTGTCAAAAAAATTTCAAGCATCTAATAAGAAATCTTTATCAAATGGTGCAACACACATTCAGTGAAGCGAATCTTAACTTTGATGGACAGTGTTTCTGATCCTGCTCCATATTTTTTTCTTATATTAATACGTTACATGGTTTGTATTAAGAGAATATAGCCGTTTTTGGACCATTAATAAAGTCAAAAATTAGGAATAATTAAGAGCTCTTCCGCTCTTTATTTGAAAAATACAGTAAAAACGGTAGTATTGTAAAATATTACAAATTAAAGGAAAGTTTTTAAATATATTTTTAAATTTTAATGTTAATCCTATAATAGCAAAGCTATATAATCTATTCATTCCATATTCAAATTATTCTAATTATAACTTTAGTCCTGTAGTTATCTTTCAAAAGCATTGACATTATTTTGACAAATTGTATTTTTTTTTTTTTTGGAATTGGAAATTCCTATTATAGTTGCATTATGATAATAAGAATTTGAGTGAAGCATGCTTTTTTTTTTAAATTTGCAATTCACACAAACTAATATCAAGCATCTAATAAGAAACCTTTATCAAATGGTGCAACACACATTCAGTGAAGCGAATCTTAACTTTGATGGACAGTGTTTCTGATCCTCCTCCTCGAGACTCAAACCCAGTCTCAGTTTTGGCATCAGGCCCGTTCACACACTCAATAGGGGATCTTTTGTGCGGTCTGCATTAGACGCCTAAATATACAGCAGACTTCCTCCAAGCCCATCAGACTGACAGCTCAAAGACACCACACGCAGCGCTGCTTCACAGAGAGCATCATGTCATGACCACAGCTTTAGACCCAGCCGTAAACACGCTTTATGGGAAACCACAGAGAGAAAGATTAAATATACTCGCGTTTCATGCAGTGAGCATTGGGTGGATTTTAAAACATTTCTCAATATTACTTTGCTTTCTGTTAGTGTCATGTACAGATTATGAAAGAAAACTTAAAGCATAGCTGATAATCAAAGTTAACATCCTCGTGCAAGTTCACAATGAGAAACTATAGCTATTTATCTAGTTTATTTTCTTGCCTAAAGTTAAAAGTGTGAGCTTTTTTTTTTTTTTTTAATAGAAATGCAATTCTGAAACTGTGAAAAGTTCTGAATGGTTTCTTTTGCAATTAAAAATGCCACCTAATGCCTTTAAACTAAAGGGAATTTAATAGGCTTTTAAAAGGAATTACAAATGATTGTACCGCCACCTAATGGTCATGAAAAGAAAATACAGCCACCATTTCATTTGCTGGAAAAGTTAATTTTACTAGTATAAAAGTCTCATTTTGTAAAAGAGTAGGAAAACAATTGGTTTCAATGATTATCAAAAATAGTTTCCAGAAACTCCATGCATATTAACGCTACAATAAATGGCAAGCAAACACTGTCAGTGAAGCAGAAGCCTAACTCTTTCCAACATCTTTAATTCAGAGTGGGTTATTGAATATTCCACACAAAACTGCAAAGCTACAAATATTGCAACAAACAACCTGAAGAGAAGTCACATAACAGTAACTTTGTTACAAGGCTACCAAGTCAGGTCCATAATGCTCAACATTCACCTACAAACACACCTCCTGGTTGTCTTCTGCATGTCACATGGTCAGAAGCTCAGAAGTGGAGGCCATTGTGGCTCAAAACTTGCGTGGCTGTTGAATGCAGGGGATGCGCGAGACGTGCGGCTTCTCCACGCTCGGCCGGACTCGGCTGTGTCGCACAGAAACGGGAATCTCTGGGAAATCATGACCAAACTGCAGCAAAAAATAATAATAATAAATAAATAAAGCATTTGTATTAAATAGGACACTTCATTTCTGAAACAAAGGGATTTATACTTTAATACAGTGACTAATCAAATGTCTAAAACAACCTCAGCTTCTATGGCTAATGTCATGGTAAAATCCAAGTCCAACTTTTTAACTACTTAAAACTGTAAATTTAATAATAAATTAAATAAACTTAGATATTACAAACAAATAATAAACTAAATTATCAAATTAATAAATTATAAATAAAGATATAATAAAATTAAATAAAAAGATGAACATTACTGAAATACAAAATCCCAAATAAATAGAAAAAAATATAAGTATACTAAATCATTTTTTTAAAAGGTAATAATTTAAATAGATCAATTACATAAATATGAAAATATAAGCCTGCAATAATAATAATATAAACAGATGAATACATTACTGAAATACAAATTAAAAACAAATAAGCATACTAAATTATATAAAATATCTTTTTAAAAAGTAATAAAATTAATAAAATAATCAAATTAAAACTAAGAAAATTAAATAAAAAGATGAACAATACTGAAATACAAAATACCAAATATATGGAAAAAAATAAATACACTAAATAAAAGATTTTTAAAAAGGTAGTAAGTTAGATCAATTATAAATATGAAAAAATAAGCCTACAATAATAATATGAACAGATTAATACATTACTGAAATGTTAAATACCAAATAAATAGAAAAAAATAAGTATACTAAATTATGTAAAATATTTTATAAAAAGGTAATAAACTTAAATAGATCAATTACATAAATATGAAAATATAAGCCTACAATAATAATAATATAAACAGATGAATACATTACTGAAATACAAATTAAATAGAAAACTAATAAGCATACTAAATTATCTAAAATATCTTTTTAAAAAGTAATAAACTTAGAAAAATTACATAAATATGAAAAATATAAGCCTACAATAATAATATAAACAGATACATTTGAAAAAAAAATTTGAATAAAAATGAAAATAAATACAAACTCTCAAACAAAATGATTTGGCAAACTGTCATTTGCTAGCTGCTATTTTAGTGGCCAAAAACTTGTTTAGAAATGTGGACACTTGCAGAGGAAATAATCACTGAAGAGTTCATAATGTGAATCCTAGTATTTTGACTAAACTCTACTTAATTGAATTAATGACCATGTCCTAGTTTTCACTCTCACTCCAATTAAAAATTGCAGAACCCCCCCCCAAAAAAAACAAAAAAAAAACAAACAAAATGTGAAGCGCCCGCAAACTACAGTCACAGAAACTGCATGTCGTCAACTACAATAAACTCACTTTAAACCTTAAACTCTTTGTGTGTGCCATCTTGTGCTCATCCACACAGCAGTGCATTATGGGATTGGAGGATACATGCAATGCTAGTAAGGGTGCAACAAACCTTCTCAAGCGGCCCAGCCAGGAGAAGACTCAAATGCTGCATTCTGGACGGGGTCGGCAGGGACCTGGAGAACAACTCAGTTAGCGAAGTGCAAAATAACCCAAACGTGGCGTTCTGACGGAAACTGCATGGCTCTTTGATTTCATGCAAAGTGCCGAAACATTTTTAGCAACACGTTTAACACGCTTGACTTTTTAGATGCCTGCAGTAAGACTAAAACTGCATTTCTACCTCTTTAAACTTTGATGAACCACTTTCAATCCTAGGTTAAGGAGCAGAATACAAAAGAGACGCAACCACGATATGAATGTCCCTGCCAGCGGGTTTAGGAAACCACTGCACATTCCACCAACAGCCCAAGGCAGGAGCGTTTATATGAAACGTGTTCATTAAATGTTGAGCAAACTGCCAGTGAGACGTTTGAAAACAAGTCAGCATTTTTTTTTTTAGGCAGAAAATACTGTTTATACCTGGTTTTGTCAAATTTCTTGGTCTCCTTTTCCAGATTTCCACCATCATCAGCGCTCTTCTTCACGACTCTTTTTCCTCCTGCTTTCACTGAAGAAAGTGCACAATTTTACCGTTTCAGTTGAAATTACAAAATGTGGATGTATTAGGAAGTGTTACAGCTTTCATTCACCAACACTGGTTGTTTTAGAACATTTTCATCTCATATCAAACTTCTTTAAAAGAAAAAAGCAGACAATGATTTGCAATGTCACTTCATTCAAGCTGACGTAGGAACGAGAAACACCACAAATATGCATTCCCAATTCATTCCTATAGATTTTTCTCACAGATCAGGAGTTTGAGTCCTGTAAACGTCCACTACCATCATCTCGGTCCATTGGCCCTGTTGTTTTGAATATTTGGCAGGTTTATCGAGGCCCCGAGGGCGAGCGTGCAAATATTTGCTCAATAAAACAAGCCGCTCGCTCAAATCCGTCTAACAAAAAGTCAGTGAACGGTACAATGAGGGAGTGTTCAGTGCTTGCAGTTTGAAAGGGATTAGATTGTGAAACTCTCAGGTAACCTGAAAAAAATGCCATGTACGCCGTTTGCTACCTTTAAAGCTATATGACGGCCCTACTTTCACATTAAAGTGTCCCTAGATTGCATAAGTTTACAAATACACAAGATTAAAAGGAATTGAGAAACGTTTACAGTGGCTTTATAAATTAAACATGTGATGAAAAGTCTTTGTTCTTCGTTTTCTAGAATCAGAATCTAGCTGTATTTGTGCAGTAAATTAAAGGGATAGTACACCCAAAAACAAAAATGATCAAATTTACTCACCCTCATGTTCTAAAACTATACGAATTTCTTCTGTTGAACATAAAATATGATATTTTAAAGAATGTTGTAATCAAACACTTGACTGTAGAAAAAAAAATATATATTGTGCAAGTCAATGGGTTCTTCAAAATATCTTTTGTGATCAACAGAAGAAAGAAACTCTTACAGGTTGGACCATATGAGGGAAAGTAAATAATATTTTTCCTTTTCGGGTGAACTATCCATTTAATAGAAGGTAAACAGCCATCTTGCTGTGTTTGTTTACCACTAGCGCATGTTGCTGATGCAGACGTTTTATTATATACTGCGTAGTAACCTACGATTCAATGGGTGACATCATCGTGCAATCTGCAAACATATCAGATCCATTTCGTACAGTCTGATTGATTTGTAATGATCTTATATGATTTCCGAAATCGCAGTGAGTCACTGGCATTAGCATCATGAAAAACAATAGTTTTGAACGGTGGGTGGATTCTGACCATCTTAAACGTCTCTGATTGGCCATTGCGTTAAAGAATTCAACAACTATGTCTGTGATTGGCTACATTCCTCATCGCTGCAAAGAACACGTTGTAAATAGATTCATTTGACGTTCTCCACAAATATTCACTGGAACATTTTGCCAAATCGGTTTCGCCAATATTACAGAATCAACTGAGGGTGCTTTTGCTTGATAAAACCACCGTAGAACCGGGTCTAGTGCACTTATCGTATTAAATCACAGTAGAAGTAGAAACTGAAACTATGCCATCGGAACTCACATCCTGTGATACCTAAGAAAACAATATCTGATGGTTGTTTTCCTCCCACTGCACAGTGCAGAAACACTTGCTTGAACTACAGCCGCAAAAGTAGGCCTACATTCACAAAAATAGCATGCAATGTAATAATCTACACTTACGCATCGTTAAAATTAAATCTCAAACTACTTACACAGCGCAAAGAAAACAAGAAATAATTCAAATAAGCTACTTTAAAAGGTTTTATATGTGACTAAATGTGCAAACCTGCAGGAGGATGACCAGCTCTTAGCGAGTCTTTCGCTCCAGTTTTTGAAAGTTGCACCATTTTCAGTTTTCTTCACAACAACGACACAAACACACTCTGTTAGTCAATCCGCCCACACTCGCGCGCTTTTATACTCTTGAGACCTCACTGACGTCACGGAGGATGCGCGTGCATGAGACCGTACGCAGCAAAAATACGAATTCAAAAATATTTGTTGTGCCTGAGCAGCGCCACGACAGGTATGATTATGAAAGCGAGACTGTGAGGGATGATACAGACTTATCTTGTTTTTAATGGCGTCCGCTGTCAAAAAAATAATAATACAAAAATAAAAATAAAAACCTGTAAAAAGCTTTTAGATCACTTCTAATGTTCAGCAGTTCATATTTTCGGTTTTTATTTTATTATTATAATTTTTTTGTCTACTGAAATTCTGGGAAATATATTTTTGCACTGTTCCGTCAATTCAAAAACATTAAATAACAGTAGTAAATAGGCTATGTTTATCCCTCACACCCTCGCTGTCTTTCCCGTTAAAAATCAAAGATGGCGCTGCTCTGTGGTCAATAAAGCACCAAACCTAAAAACACTTACCCACATAATAACACAAAATCTATGTAACTTTTTCTAAATGTTCCTTGTAACTAGATAATTGTGTATTTAAGCTCATATATGGGAGTTTTTGTGTAGGGCTCTTTTCTAATGCTGAATTTGGAACCGTATACTAACCAACAGTAGTATACAGGATACAGTAGTTAGTCTAACTACTGCTTAAATACTATTTCTTCCATACACTTATGGTAAATATAGTATGAGTAATATACTAGTATGCCAATGGTTCCCAACACCACATGTTTGATGGCTACATTAAATCACATACTCCCCTACTATATAGTAGGAAAAAAACTGTGACAATAGAAGTATGTCCTAAATCAGTGCTAATAAAAGAATATAGCCAAAAAGTACCTGAAAAATGACCTTCTTCCAGTGGGATTCTGAAAGCAATGGACACTTTACTATTCCATGAGGCAAAGGATAAAGGATTTAGTTTTGTTAATTTATTATGATTATATTTCCTTTATTAACATAGATGGATATGGGTGACATACATATGTGTACAGTATGTATGATAATATAGCCTACATATATTATATATAAACAGTGCTCCAAAACCTCCACTGATTTAACACAGTATACAGTAGCTATATTTTGTCAATATAGTGCATGATATATAAGTAAATTGAATAATAAATGAGTGCATACAGAGAAATGACTTACATCTCATGTAGGAACACTTGGTTAATACTGGCAGTTAAATACAGTGTAGTGACCTTATCAAGCAAGAATATGGCAGTTGTTGTTTTCGGAGAAATCTTCAAGAGACGTTCTTCTATTGTGCTGCTAGTGAGAGATTTCATATGTTTACGGTTTTCACTTTTTTTGCCTTTCTGCACCAAAACACAGATCTCATTTGCTGTCTGGACTGAGACGAGCCGTAATAGTAGAGAAGAGGGTCCAGAACAACACTTGTGCTCCCCAAACACACAGCCAACAGGTAAACAACATATGATGAATCTCCCTCGCCGATGTGTCTTCTTGTAGCTAAACGAACATAGTGGTACAACAGGAGGCCATTGGTTGCAGCAAAACACAACACGAACTCAATCAGCACAGTAATAGCCATAATCACAGCTTTCCTTCGAACGCCTGAAGGTGATGATGATGATGCTAAGTGTTCAGACTTCGCACGGAGTACATATATGATAGTACAGTAGCTCACTAAGGTGACAACCAGTGGCAAGAAGAAGTAGAGGCAAGAGAGAATGGAGAAGAGATACACATAAGACAGCCTTGAAGGGTCGTTTTGGCGCAGTACATCATGACAAGTGACGCCCACACCCTCGACCTTGAGCGTTTGTCTCATTGAGAGAAGTGGCACCGTACCAGCGAGCGCCAGCAGCCAGACCAGCACACACACACACGTGGCTTTCCTTGTGCTCCTCCAGGTTTGAGAGGTGATGGGAAGCGCCACAGCCAGCAGTCTGTCCACACTTATGCACATCATCAGAAGTATGGAGCAGTACATGTAGCAGTAGTACGCAGCACTGAGCACACGACACGCCACCTCCCCGAACACCCAATCTGAAGCGTTCAGCTGGTAGTGGATCTTCAGAGGCAGCAACAGGGTGAAGAACAGGTCCACACACGCCAGGTGAGACATGTAGATCACAGCGGGTTTCTTGGCTTTAATCCTACAGGTGAACGTCACCAAGGCCACAGCGTTCAGGGGCAAACTAATGAGGATGACGAAGATGTAGAACGAGGGCATGACGCGTGTGACTATCACGCCTTTGAGGAAGTCAGCAGATTCGGTGGAGATGTTCCACATCACGGAAAATCCTTGGAGAATTGTGTAATCTATATATGAAACATGAAGACAGCAGTTAAACTCTGTAACCCGCACAAAACACTATTAAAACATATAATCATTTTTTTAAAGTAAGCATGAGATCCACCCATAAACATTACCACTGGTGTAAGCGGGCCGTACAAACATTATTATGAATTAAATTATACGAGTTTATACACATAACAAGCCACCAATTCTGCAAAACATAAATACAAATTGTCATGAGATTGTGTTGCATATTACTGTTATACGTTGTTAGAGAGATACGGTCATTGTAGCAAGCACGAGGAATGCACAAAGAACCTGTAATAAATACAAAAGACCATTAGTGACAGCTCTCAGAACACCACCAGAGAATAATTAGGAGAAAACATTTGGACACATTAGAGAAAAGGCTTTCTTTGATTTAATCCGAAACAAATTATAGTAGCCTAGGCTTGCTGATACAAAGCATGATACTAAATTCAATCTGTTCATCATATAAAGCGATCATTTTGACCAAACCGCTCAATTCATGGATTAGTTTTACGATCTCTTTATGAACTTTTTGAACCATTAAAGTGGTTGTTGTGTAGCTGTCAATAGAAGGACAGAAAGTCTCAGATTTCATCAAAAAGATCTTAATTTGTGATCTGAAGATGAACGAAAGTCTTATTTGGAGTAACTTGATGGTGAGTAATTAATGACAGAAACTGCATTTTTGGTTGAACTTACTCTTTAAATTAGGCATTGGGAACATAGGTCCAGTTTCATCCAGACAGCAGTCAGAATCTGTAAGCAGCACAAAACACAATTAATATAGGTCATATACTATTAAAACATAGGCTTACAATTATTATTATTTTTTTTAATTATTTTCATTTTGGAAAATGAAATCATTTTGGTTTACATGAAGATGGAAAAACCTAATTACCCATTTTTTTTTTCCAAAAGGCTAATTGTAGTAGCCTACTGAAGGATCAGACCTGTTTGCCCAATAGTGGCAAGAAACATATGTATATGAAGAGTTCAGATGCAAAAGCCTCTAAATGCCATTTGAAATTTTCTTCTTTAATGACGATTTTTTATCAAACTTGTATATTTAAGTTCAGTAATTTCAATTAAATGGCAATGATAATTACCTATTAATTGTTATTTAAGTGAAATTACTGAACTTAAATATACAAGTTTGATAAAAAGCATAATTAAAGAAGAAAGATTCAAATGGCATTTAGAGGCTTTTGCATCTGAACTCTTCATATGTTTAACCGACGCTGATGTGCGAGGGTTTCCCATCCCCATACGACATCACTTCTCTGTCTTTCACTGTCCTGACAAGATTGTCGGTCTCATCCGCTGTGAACGCTCCTGGTAAACCCGCCGTTATAATAACAATCCGTCATGCAACATGCGCACCTGCTCTTAAAGGGTATGTTGGATGATGCTCTGATTGGTTTATTTCCCGTTACGCCCAAACCACACCTATGAATAATGAAGCTACTTCAGACCAACCCCTTTTAGATTTGCGCCAGTTGCAAGAGGCATTTATCCCGCCGGGGGAAAATAGCAACAGCGCCGGGATGCGACCACAAAGTTACTTGTGCTTTGACACTTGCGTTTCAGATCGTTAAAATAGGGCCCGTATGCTATGCCTTGCGCTTTTCACGTCCCGTGTGAAACTGCTGTTTTGTCGAAGTGAAATGAGAGACCCACCTGGAATGACCTTGACAAGCTCTTGCCTCGTATTATAACACATATAGCAGTCAAAATCTGTAACCCGCAAAAAACACAATGAGTGAATGTCATATAGCCTAGGCCTAGCCTACTATTAAAACACAGAGTTATTTATATATATATATATATATATGAAGTAAACATGAGATCCAACCCTAAACATTACCACCGGCGTAAGTGGACCACAAACATTTTTATGAATGAAATTATACGAGTTTATACACATAAGCCACCAATGCTGCAAACCGTAAATACAAATTGTCATGAGATTGTGTTGCATATTACCGTTATTCATTGTTGGAGAGTAATAGTCATAGTAGCTAGGAGGACACGGACCGCAGTCAGAACCTGTAATAAATACAAAAGCCCATTAGTGACAGCTCTCAGAGAATAATTAGGAGAAAACATTTGGACACATTAGAGAAAAGGCTTTCTTTGCTTTTAATCCAAAACAAATTATAGTAGCCTAGGCTTGCTGATACAAAGCATGATACTAAATTCAATCTGTTCATCATATAAAGCGATCACTTCTCTTTAGAAAATTTGGACCAAACCGCTCAATTCATGGATTAGTTTTATGATCTCTATATGAACTTTTTGAACCATTAAAGTGGTTGTTGTGTAGCTGTCAATAAAAGGACAGGAAGTCTCAGATTTCATCAAAAAGATCTTAATTTGTGATCCAAAGATTAACAAAAGTCTTATTTGGAGCAACTTGACGGTGAGTAATTAATGACAGAAATTGCATTCTTGGTTGAACTTACTGTTTGGATAATATTTTGAATCGGGTTCCATCATGTATAAAATTTTACCCGGACAGCAGTCAGAATCTGTAAGCAGCACAAAACATAATAAGTGAAGGTCATATACTATTAAAACATAGGCTTATTATTTCTTTTTTTTTAAGTAAGCATGAGATCCAACCCTAAACATTACCATGGTGTAAGCGGACCATACAAAAACTTTTATGAATTAAATTATACGAGTTTTTACACCAATTCTGCAAAACTTAAATTCAAATTGTCATGAGATTGTGTTGCATATTACTGTTATACGTTGTTGGAGAGTTCGGGTCATAGTAGCAAGCACGAGGAATGCATTCAGAACCTGTAATAAATACAAAAGACCATTAGAGACAGCTCTCAGAACACCACCAGAGAATAATTAGGAGAAAACATTTGGACACATTAGAGAAAAGGCTTTCTTTGCTTTTAATCCGAAACAAATTAGAGTAGCCTAGGCTTGCTGATACAAAGCATGATACTAAATTCAATCTGTTCATCATATAAGGTGATCACTTCTCTTTAGAAAATTTGGACCAAACCGCTCAATTCATGGATTAGTTTTACGATCTCTATATGAACTTTTTGAACCATTAAAGTGGTTGTTGTGTAGCTGTCAATAGAAGGACAGAAAGTCTCAGATTTCAGCAAAAAGATCTTAATTTGTGATCTGAAAATGAAGGAAAGTCTTTTTCAGCAACTTGATGGTGAGTAATTAATGACAGAAATTGCATTTTTGGTTAAACTTACGCTTTAAATCAGGCATTGGGAACATGGCTTCTAACACAGCATTAATTTCATCCGGACAGCAGCCAGGATCTGTGAGCAGCACAAAACACAATGAGTGAAGGTCATATACTATTAAAATATAGGCCAATTATTTTTTTTTATGAGATCCACCCCTAAACATTACCATCACTGGGGTGCAGACCATACAAAAACTTTTATGAATGAAATTACACGTGTCACAGATAAGGAGAGATGACCCAAAAGCGAAAGTAGGTAAACAGTCTCTTTAATATAACACAAGGATGCCATAGGCAATATCAAAGTCTTCTTTGTAAATAACTCAGGGATGCCGTAGGGAACAAACAGACAACTGTGCAGCAGACCCAGGGCTGGAAAGAGATGGTCCAGGTAGTGAGGTGCAAGGGGAGGAGACAGAGGGAGATACCAGGTTCATTACAATACGAGTTTATACACCAATTCTGCAAAACGTAAATACAAATTGTCATGAGATGTTATTGCATATTACTGTTATACGTTGTTGAGTTATACTTAGAGTAGCAAGGATGTGGAAAGCAGATAGAACCTCAAATCAATACAAAAGACCATTAGTGACAGCTCTCAGAGAATAATTAGGAGAAAACATTTGGACACATTAGAGAAAAGGCTTTCTTTGCTTTAATCCGAAACAAATTAGAGTAGCCTAGGCTTGCTGATACAAAGCACGATACTAAATTCAATCTGCTCATCATATAAAGCGATCACTTCACTGTCGCCTTGCTTTTGGCTTGCTTAGTCGGGGTTACTTAATATTTAATATTTAACAATATTATTGATCTGTGTTGTACTACTACAATCTGTATTGTGAAAAGCGCTATATAAATAAATGTGACTTGACTTCTCTTCTCAAATTTTGACCAAACCGCTCAATTCATGGACTAGTTTTACGATCTCTTTATGAACTTTTTGAACCATTAAAGTGGTTGTTGTGTAGTTATGAAAAGAAGGACAGAAAGGTCTCAAATTTCATCAAAAAGATCTTGATTTGTGATCCGAAGATGAACGAAAGTCTTATTTGGAGCAACTTGATGGTGAGTAATTAATGACAGAATTTGCATTTTTGGTTCTTAAAGTAGGCATTGGGAACATTTTGGCTTCCAACATACCTTGAGTTTCATCCAGACAGCAGTCAGAATCTGTGAGCAGCACAAAACACAATTAATATAGGTCATATACTATTAAAACATAGGCCTACAATTATTTCTTATTACAAAAATTTCAATTTTAAGTCAGCATGAGATCCACCCCTAAACATTACCACTGGTGTAAGCGGGCCGTACAAAAACTTTTATGAATTAAATTACACAAGTTTATACACTTAAGCCACCAATTCTGCAAAACTTAAATACAAATTGTCAAGAGATTGTGTTGAATATTACCGGTACTGTTATTCGTTGTTGAGTTATAGTCAGAGTAGCTTAGACACGGAATGCATCCAGAACCTGTAATAAATACAAAAGACCATTAGTGACAGCTCTCAGAACAGAGAATAATTAGGAGAAAACATTTGGACACATTTGAGAAAAGACTTTCTTTGATTTTAATCCGAAACAAACAGTAATCTAGGCTTGCCTACACAAAAAAAGTATGATCCTAAAATCAATCCAGTCATCATATAAAGCGATCACGTCACTTTAGAAAATTGATAAAACTGCTCAATTCATGGATTAGTTTTACAATCTCTTAATGAACTTTTTGAAGCATCAAATTGGTAGGTGTGTAGAAAGTCTCAGATGTTAATTTGTGATCCGAAGATTAACAAGATTAACTTTTGGAGCAACTTGATGGTGAGTAATAGTAACAGAATTTGCATTTTTGGTTGAACTTACTCTTTAAATTACGCATCAGCAAGGTATTACATTACAAGTCACTTTTTATAAATATTGATTTGATGATCTACTTACCGTTATTGTTGTCAGTGCCCGTGTGTGCAATTACAACTAAAAGCAAGATTATTTGAATCCCCATGATGAACATCTGTCTGTTTACTCCCAAAATCTACAAGCACTCGTGGATAAGCGACGTCCGATTGGTGAGCCAAAGCCAGTGAGTAGTATGAAGCTGCAGACTCGGAGACCTGCATCTACAGTCCCCCACCCATTCTCAGACCCCAACAGCGCCTCCTATGAAATTGTATAAACATGTGAAGAACATATGAAGAACTTAAAGGGTTAGTTCACCCAAAAATGAAAATTCTGTCAGTATTTATTTACTCACCCTCATGTTGTTCCAAGCCTCTGTGTGTTTATTTGTTCTGCTGAACACAAAGGAAAATATTTTAGAAGAATGTTTTAATCAAACAGATCTCATTCCCCATTGACTACCATAGTATGTATTTTTTCCTAAATTTCGTTAAATAAAGTACAGAATTGTTTATTATTGGTGTTTTGTCTATTCTTATTTGTTTTGCTTCGCAATCAAAATATTTAAAAAAAAACAGGTTTTTGTAAGTATGGTAATGTTAATTAGACCATAATAAATTGAATTGAAAGAAAAATTGGAATTTGTATAATGAAAAATAATAATAATAAAAAAAAACATTGATCTGTAATTGCATCCCTTCCGTAACACAATGATCTTTTTTGGCACAACATGTATTAAGCAGGGAACGCAAATATTTATTTGGATAACTAAATAAAAAAAAACGTAATATTGCATTCTATTGTTTTCAATTACATTTGGATCAGGGTGCGCTGTCTGGAAAAAACGGGCGGTCTGAGAACGCGGGACTCTGTGTGCGGGTGTTATACGATAGATGCTGGACTGTAGATGCATGGAGGCTCCGAGTCTGCAGCTTCCTAATATTGGAGTCAGTCGTTCATTTGAATCTTTTCACTGAATCAGTTGAACCGGTTGAGCCGATTGGCTAATGTCCGAACCAAGCGTGCCGCACAAGCCCTCAAAAGTGAAGCCAAAACATCTCGATCTCCCCCCTGTGACCGGTCCTAGTATAGGTCATACACCCCACCTACCCATGTTATTCAACGGGACGTGAGACCAACTAAACAATTCAATTACACTTCACATATCCTTTTTCCAAAGATAGTTTCTGTCATTTACTGCAGTTTTTATCACTGCAGTTTTTATGTCATTTCAAGTGTTCGTTTTTAAAATAAGTTTGTCTTTAGTTAGTTTTTGATGCTATGAAAAACAGTGCTCACATCATGATTGACAGCTGTGATTGACAGGTTCTCTGTGCGAGGTAGTCACTGAAGAAGCAGCAGACTTTTTTTAAAATGTTGATTATGTGGTTAGTAGTTGTATTTACCTTATGTTAACGAGGTTCTGCAATCAGCAGATATCATTGGAGAGGAACGAAGCAGACAGAGGCCACTTAAGAAGAAGAAGCTAACATGATTAGCATGTAGCTAGCATGTAGTTAAGATGATTAGCATGTTGCTAGAATCATGCTAGCACAATTAGCATGTTGTTAGTATCATGCTAACATGTTTTAGCAAGAAGCTAGCATGATTAAAATGTAGCTAACATCATGCTAGCATGTAGCTAACATGATGCTAACATGCTTAGAATGTAGCTAACATGATGTTAGCATGATTTGCAATTAGCTAGCATGATGCTAACATTATTAACATGTAGCTAACATGATTATTATGTTACTAACATCATGCTAGCACGATTGGCATGTTGCTAGCATGTTTTTAGCAAGCAGCTAACATGATTAACATGTTGCTAGCATCATGTTAGCACAATTAACATGTTGCTAGCATCATGCTAGCACAATTAGCATGTTGCTAGCTAGCATGATGTAGCTAGCATCATGTTAGCATGATTAACATGTTGCTAACATCATGTTAGCACAATTAACATGTTGCTAGCATCATGCTAGCATGTTTTTTAGCAAGAAGCTAGCATGATTAGCATGTTGATAGCATCATGCTAGCATGATTAACAGGTTGCTAGCATCATGCTAACACAATTAGCATGTTGTGAACATCATGCTAGCATGTTTTTAGCGAGAAGCTAGCATGATTAGCATGTAGCTAGCATGATGCTCGCATGATTAGCATGTTGCTAGCATCATGTTAACACAATTAGCATGTTTTTAGCATTATGCTAACATGTTTTAGCAAGAAGCTAGCATGGTTAACATGTAGCTAGCACAATTAACATGTAGCAAACATCATGCTAACATGTTTTTAACAAGAAGCTAGTATGTTTTTAACAAGAAGCAAACATGATTAGCATGTAGCTAAGAAATATTAGTTAGAAAGAAAGATTATTTAGAAAGAAAGAACAATAGATTAGTTAAAAAGAAAGAAAGATAAGTTAAAAAGAAAGAAAGATAGATTAATTAGAAAGATAGATTAATTAGACAGAAAAATTGATTGATTGATTAGTTAGAAAGAACGATTATTTAGACAGAAAGAAAGATAGATTAGTTAGAAAGAAAAATAGATTAGTTAGAAAAAAGATCTGACCCGAGTTTTCAAAGTCTTTCTCTAAACAGAAAGAACAGAGGGTATTAATATCATTCTTAAGCCTTTTGAGAAAACACTTATCTGGATAAAACCTATGAATTAACTTAAAGTTAATTTCTCTTATTTTGTTAGTTATCAGGTATTTGTGAGGTAATGTCCAAACTTTTTTCCAGGGAATGTCACTTACAAAACCATTCCAGTAAGAAATTCCACATGGCATAGAAACAGACTCCTCCTGAAACAAGACTCGAATTTTCTTATTGTTTTTTGTTTAGAAGAAGAAAAGCACGGTTTACCTATAAATGTGTTACACAGATCCACTGAGCGATAAAGAGATGAAAAAGAAAATCTTTTAAAAAGCATGAGAACCCCCTTGTGGCACTGCATCAGCCACAATTGCAAACTCTTTTGGAGTGACAGGAATTCCATGCTTTACCAAGAACTCGGAATTATTACAAATCGAACCATTTTGATTAAAAAGTTGATAAAAAATAATTCCATTTTTAAAGCAATTATCAAAGAAAATAGATTTATGTTTATACAGTAGGTCCTTATTATTCCAAATTATATAAGAGTAAGGTGTAAAATTGTGTTAACAGATGTGGGACCAAGCTAATAACATTTGCCTGTGAAAAAGGGATAATTTGATAGGGATTTTCATTATGTTAATTACAGGTTAATAAGAATTTTAATCCCCCCGTTTCAAGACAAAATAGCATTAGGGATCAGATTCCAGATAGATGCGGAGGGGTTATTAATAAAGTTCTTTATCCAGTTACCCCATTTGTCCTTTATTTATTTCTAAAGAAACACGACAATGTATAAAATGCTCCATTACCTTGTAGCTAATGTTATGGCCCCGTAGAAGCAGAAAGTAGGCTAACGATTGCGTCATACCCACGCGACTCTCTGTCGCACAGTAGAGAGATTACCGTATGGACATGAGAAGAAGCTCACGCGCAATCGGGGAAACGTGGAGGCAAAATGACAAAATAATTAATCAGAATACCTAGCAAAATTGTCTCCTTCTCCTAGCTCATGGACAGCTCCTATTCACACTCTCCGCCTCTGCAAGTTTCAGAAGGGAATGATTCAGATTTCCAATGCCACAGCCACTAGAAGACAGACGAGTTGCCCTCGTCACATTACGTTGTCAAGCTCTGTTTGAGTCTGCGCGTCAGGGACGGAAGTGCTAAAAAATCGCCAAAAACCAACGGGCTTCAATCGTCTCAATGGAGTTTCAATGAGATCGCTCTGTCCACTTGTTTTACTTTACAAATTACAGACATGGCCGATTCGCACGGGATTGATCACAGACAAACTCCGCAATTATTACAAATTGCTATGGGAGTTTTTGTGCAGGGCGATCTTTTCTAATGCTGAATTTGGAACCGTATACTATTTCTGCCATACACTTATGGTAAATAAAGTACGAGTAATATACTAGTATGCCTGCCAATGGTTCCCAACAGCACATTTTTGATGGCTACGTCGAATCAGTGCTAATAAAAAAATATAGGCAAAAAGAAAAATTCTTCAATTAATATTTCTATATTAAAACTGCTATATTTAAAACATTAATCTCCTAACATGTATGCACAGTGTTGGGTAAGTTACTCTAAAAAGTAAGTAATTACTCCATTACTTATTACATCTACCAGAATAGTATACGCTGCTGTTTTCCATTGAATGGATTAACATTGTAAGCTAAATTTCTCAATCACAGCCTCTGTGCAAATGCAGAACCAAAATATGTCAAATCAATCATCAATTGGCTTCAGGCTATTACAGGTTTTATTTATTTTGATTATATTGCCTTTATTAACATAGATGGATATGGGTGACATACAGTACATATGTATACAGTATGTATAATAATATAGCCTACATATATTATAATATATAAACAGTGCTCCAAAACCTTCATTGATTTAACACAGTATACAGTAGCTATATTTTGTCAATATAGTGCATGATATATAAGTAAATTGAATAATAAATGAGTGCATACAGAGAAATGACTTACATCTCATGTAGGAACACTTGGTTAATACTGGCAGTTAAATACAGTGTAGTGACCTTATCAAGCAAGAATATGGCAGTTGTTGTTTTCGGAGAAATCTTCAAGAGACGTTCTTCTATTGTGCTGCTAGTGAGAGATTTCATATATTTACGGTTTTCACTTTTTTTGCCTTTCTGCACCAAAACACAGATCTCATTTGCTCTCTGTACTGAGACGAGCCGTAATAGTAGAGAAGAGGGTCCAGAACAACACTTGTGCTCCCCAAACACACAGCCAACAGGTAAACAACATATGATGAATCTCCCTCGCCGATGTGTCTTCTTGTAGCTAAACGAACATAGTGGTACAACAGGAGGCCATTGGTTGCAGCAAAACACAACACGAACTCAATCAGCACAGTAATAGCCATAATCACAGCTTTCCTTCGAACGCCTGAAGGTGATGATGATGATGCTAAGTGTTCAGACTTCGCACGGAGTACATATATGATAGTACAGTAGCTCACTAAGGTGACAACCAGTGGCAAGAAGAAGTAGAGGCAAGAGAGAATGGAGAAGAGATACACATAAGACAGCCTTGAAGGGTCGTTTTGGCGCAGTACATCATGACAAGTGACGCCCACACCCTCGACCTTGAGCGTTTGTCTCATTGAGAGAAGTGGCACCGTACCAGCGAGCGCCAGCAGCCAGACCAGCACACACACACACGTGGCTTTCCTTGTGCTCCTCCAGGTTTGAGAGGTGATGGGAAGCGCCACAGCCAGCAGTCTGTCCACACTTATGCACATCATCAGAAGTATGGAGCAGTACATGTAGCAGTAGTACGCAGCACTGAGCACACGACACGCCACCTCCCCGAACACCCAATCTGAAGCGTTCAGCTGGTAGTGGATCTTCAGAGGCAGCAACAGGGTGAAGAACAGGTCCACACACGCCAGGTGAGACATGTAGATCACAGCGGGTTTCTTGGCTTTAATCCTACAGGTGAACGTCACCAAGGCCACAGCGTTCAGGGGCAAACTAATGAGGATGACGAAGATGTAGAACGAGGGCATGACGCGTGTGACTATCACGCCTTTGAGGAAGTCAGCAGATTCGGTGGAGATGTTCCACATCACGGAAAATCCTTGGGGAATTTTGTAATCTATATATGAAACATGCAGACAGCAGTTAAAACATGATGAGTAAAGGTCATATACTAATTGACCCTTCGCTAAGCCCCGCCCTCCCTAGTTACTGTTGCTACGCCTGTCAAGCTTTCGCGGCTGGCCCATCTATTATAGTGTGGATGCACCCGGTGTCAGACATTCCCAATGAGATAATTAGTAATTTTCGGCGAACAAGTGAAATATCTGAGAGAGCAAGACAAAGGGGACTACAGTATGCATTCGAGGGATATATTCACGACATTATATGCAACCGATTAGAGAATAATTTCTTAAAAATTGAAGTTAAAGCCTAACGTTATAGTCCCAACGCCTCATACGCTGACCGTTCAAATGGGAAACACAAATTGAGGAACAGTTATGTTCATACACAGCAGGATATGTGAAAATAATCCTAATAATTATAAATCAAACAGCTTATCAATAAATCTTGTGGAATAACACTAATACCGGGAGAGCCGCGATCGGATTGGGTTAAGTTAGGGGTAACGTTAGTAGGACGTCGATTAACAAAATGCTGAAATATATTTTAAAGTATGTCAGTGAGCCTTTGTCTAGTCTCTTTAATCGTCTTATTTTACGTTATCATTATGACCAAAGAACCGTCAATATTTCCAAGCAATAGGTGTTTTTGTTAAGCATGTCGACATTTACCAGTAGTTGTGAATGGGTCTCGCACATAGACGCTAGATCACGCCAATCATTTCTCCCCTTGGCTTTTAGATTTTCTGGAAGGAAAACAATTCCTCTCCCCCGTCCAAACTTTTAGTATACCGGTATCAGATTTGCACAATCCATACGCACAATGCTTCAGCATGCTCCCTCGTTCGAAAGCTTGCCAGACCCCCCGCGCATAGTTACGGTTGCTAAGACATGATTGGCCAGTGGCGGTTTTCGGGCGTGGCTTAGCGAAGGGTCAATTAAAGGGGGGGTTGACTGCTTTTTTCCTTTGCATGATTGGGTTTATGGAGTGCAATATAACATGTATTTGTGGTTTCTTTTTTTAAAAGTCTTATTTTTCATAAACTTCACCTTTATTGTCAGCTGCGCTCTCCTCTGTCCTCGAACGACTGGTTGACTCAGAAACAGGCAGTGGGCTCAGATTGGTTAGTTTGGCCCGGTGTGTTGTGATTGGCTAAACTGTCACTCATGTTGTCTGGAAGGTTAACGCCCATTACCTTTACGGGCGAAACGTGCATGTGCTCCCCTGCTCCGGTCCATACACCTTATTCAGAGCAGCGCCATGACAGGTATTAAAGTGAGGCTGTGAGGGATAGACTTACCGTGTTTCCAATGGCATCCGCTGTAAAAAGCTGAATAAAACTGCTAGATACTTACACTTTTCCACAGCTTACATTGTCGGGAGTTTTTTGTCAACTGAAATTTCTTGGAAAGATATTTTTTCAGTGTTTCATGAGCAGAACAATCCGAAAACACATTAAATAACAGTACAGTACCATTGAAGAGATGCGTGTCTATCCCTCACAGCCTCGCTTTCATTCTCATTAAAAATCAAAGATGGCGCTGCCGTGAATAAGGCATATTCATGTCGATACTACAGTATCAGTTTGAGGCAGAATCAGACCGAGAAAGCGGCGATGAAGAGAGTCCAGCAGAACCTCACCACACACGGCTACACACTTACTAAACGTTTCTGAATGATAATTTGCTACATTTTTTTTTAACTTTATACACGTTTATTTTACACAATAGCATCTGACTGGCAACAATAGCAACTGACTGGCTAATGTTATCCTCAAACAGCGTTGGCATTAGATTACGTTCTTGATAAAATCGAAAATAACGTCATAAAACATAACGTTATATACATGAAAAATACGTTTAAAACATTAGTACTTATACAAAATTCAAGTCCATAATGTTTGTACGCGTTTGTCGTAGACACAAAATAGCATAACTAGTAGCCTAGTGGCTATAAAGCCAGCGCTGGCATTTGAACAAAACTAAAACACAAGGCTACGTCTGGAATTATACATGCAAATACATTTAAAGTGATGAAGTCTTAGCCTACTTACAGGTTGTGGCCCAACAACTGCTGCCTCTGGTTTTAAAGTTGGAACTGCTTCATGTTTTAGTAACAGAATCCGGTGTTGAACTCGTGGAGATTCTGGAAGCTGTCTTCCGTAAATGCGCAGCGCAAAGAGATCTAGATTACGATTGTCATTTTCAGGAACATAATCAAACATAAATTGTATCCATTGTTGACGAAGTACAGCGTCCGTGGGAAGCCGAACACAGAAGACCTGACAGCTGGTGAACAACACACTCGACGAGCCGCAGAAATATGCGCATGCCCTTTTCTGCATATTCCGGAGGGAGGGGTTGATGTAAATGTGTGGGTTAGTGACGTCTAAAACCCAGCTGTAGTCCCAATCCAGTCGTTTTTGTAGGCATTACACTTCCTGATTTTTAAAAGACGATATCTCTGCTTACACTGAACTTTCAGCGCTGCAACTTTTCAGATACTGTTCATGCAACATTACACACTATTTAAACTGAAAAAAGTGAAATCGCAATCACCCTCCCTTTAAAACATACACTTATTATTTTTTTTTTAGAGTAAGCATGAGATCCACCCCTAAACATTACCATCCGCGTAAGCGGACCACAAACATTTTTATGAATGAAATTACACGAGTTTATACAGACATAAGCCACCAATGCTGCAAACCGTAAATACAAATTGTCAAGAGATTGTGTTGCATATTACCGGTACTGTTATTCATTGTTGGAGAGTTGTAGTTAGAGTAGATAGGAGGACACGGAATGCATTCAGAACCTGTAATAAATACAAAAGACCATTAGTGACAGCTCTCAGAACACCACCAGAGAATAATTAGGAGAAAACATTTGGACACATTAGAGAAAAGGCTTTCTTTGATTTTAATCCGAAACAAATTATAGTAGCCTAGGCTTGCTGATACAAAGCATGATACTAAATTCAATCTGTTCATCATATAAAGCGATCACTTCTCTTTAGAAAATTTGGACCAAACCGCTCAATTCATGGATTAGTTTTACGATCTCTATATGAACTTTTTGAACCATTAAAGTGGTTGTTGTGTAGCTGTCAATAGAAGGACAGAAAGTCTCAGATTTCAGCAAAAAGATCTTAATTTGTGATCCAAAGATTAACAAAAGTCTTATTTGGAGCAACTTGATGGTGAGTAATTAATGACAGAATTTGCATTCTTGTTTGAACTTACTGTTTAAATTAGGCATTGGGAACATAGCTCCAATTTCACCCAGACAGCAGTCAGAATCTGTAAGCAGCACAAAACACAATTAATATAGGTCATATACTATTAAAACATAGGCCTACAATTATTTTTTTTTTAAAGTAAGCATGAGATCCACCCCTAAACATTACCACTGGTGTAAGCGGACCGTACAAAAACCTTTATGAATTAAATTATACGAGTTTATACACATAAGCCACCAATTCTGCAAAAATTAAATACGAATTGTCATGAGATTGTGTTGCATATTACTGTTATTCGTTGTTGAAGAGTAATAGTCAGAGTATCTAGGAGGAGACGGAAAGCAGTCAGACCCTGTAATAAATACAAAAGACCATTAGTGACAGCTCTCAGAGAATAATTAGGAGAAAACATTTGGACACATTAGAGAAAAGGCTTTCTTTGATTTTAATCCGAAACAAATTATAGTAGCCTAGGCTTGCTGATACAAAGCATGATACTAAATTCAATCTGTTCATCATATAAAGTGATCATTTTGACCAAACCGCTCAATTCATGGATTAGTTTTACGATCTCTTTATGAACTTTTTGAACCATTAAAGTGGTTGTTGTGTAGCTGTCAATAGAAGGACAGGAAGTCTCAGATTTCATCAAAAATATCTTAATTTGTGATCCGAAGATGAACTTTTTTTGGAGCAACTTGACGGTGAGTAATTAATGACAGAATTTGCATTTTTGGTTGAACTTACACTCTAAATCAGGCATTGCTTCCAGCATAGGTTGAATTTCACCCAGACAGCAGTCAGAATCTGTAAGCAGCACAAAACACAATGAGTGAAGGTCATATACTATTAAAATATAGGCCAGTTATTTCTTTTTAAAGTAAGCATGAGATCCACCCCTAAATATTACCATCACTGGGGTGTAAGCGGACCATACATAAACTTTTATGAATGAAATTATACGAGTTTATACACTTAAGCCACCAATTCTGCAAAAATTAAATACAAATTGTCAAGAGATTGTGTTGCATATTACTGTTATAGTCATAGTAGCTTAGACACGGAAAGCAGTCAGAACCTGTAATAAATACAAAAGCCCATTAGTGACAGCTCTCACAGAATAATTAGGAGAAAACATTTGGACACATTAGAGAAAAGGCTTTCTTTGATTTAATCCGAAACAAATTATAGTAGCCTAGGCTTGCTGATACAAAGCATGATACTAAATTCAATCTGTTCATCATATAAAGCGATCACTTCTCTTTAGAAAATTTTGACCAAACCGCTCAATTCATGGATTAGTTTTATGATCTCTTTATGAACTTTTTGAACCATTAAAGTGGTTGTTGTGTAGCTGTCAATAGAAGGACAGAAAGTCTCAGATTTCATCAAACATATCTTAATTTGTGATCCGAAGATTAACAAAAGTCTTATTTGGAGCAACTTGATGGTGAGTAATTAATGACAGAAATTGCATTTTTGGTTGAACTTACTCCGTGGATAATATTTTGAATCGGCTTCCATCATAGCTCCAGTTTTACCCGGACAGCAGTCAGAATCTGTAAGCAGCACAAAACACAATTAATATAGGTCATATACTATTAAAACGTAGTCCAGTTATTTATTTATTTTTAAAGTAAGCATGAGATCCACCCCTAAACATTACCACTGGTGTAAGCAGACCGTACAAAAACTTTTATGAATGAAATTACACAAGTTTATACACATAAGCCACCAATTCTGCAAAAATTAAATACAAATTGTCATGAGATTGTGTTGCATATTACCGTTATACGTTGTTGAAGAGTTGGAGTTTCTCGGAGGACACCGAATGCAGTCAGAACCTGTAATAAATACAAAAGACCATTAGAGACAGCTCTCAGAACACCACCAGAGAATAATTAGGAGAAAACATTTGGACACATTTGAGAAAAGGCTTTCTTTGCTTTTAATCCAAAACAAATTATAGTAGCCTAGGCTTGCTGATACAAAGCATGATACTAAATTCAATCTGTTCATCATATAAAGCGATCACTTCTCTTTAGAAAATTTTGACCAAACCGCTCAATTCATGGATTAGTTTTACGATCTCTATAAGAACTTTTTGAACCATTAAAGTGGTTGTTGTGTAGCTGTCAATAAAAGGACAGAAAGTCTCAGATTTCATCAAAAAGATCTTAATTTGTGATCCGAAGATTAACGAAAGTCTTATTTGGAGTAACTTGATGGTGAGTAATTAATGACAGAATTTGCATTTTTGGTTGAACTTACTGTTTAAATTAGGCATTGGGAACATAAGTCCAATTTCACCCGGACAGCAGTCAGAATCTGTGAGCAGCACAAAACACAATTAATATAGGTCATATACTATTAAAACATAGGCTTACAATTATTTATTTTTAAGTCAGCATGAGATCCACCCCTAAACATTACCACTGGTGTAAGCGGACCATACAAAAACCTTTATGAATGAAATTACACGAGTTTATACACTTAAGCCACCAATTCTGCAAAACAAATACAAATTGTCATTAAATTGTGTTGCATATTACCGGTACTGTTATTCGTTGTTGAGTTAGAGTCAGAGTAGCTTAGACACGGAATGCAGCCAGAAGCTGTAATAAATACAAAAGACCATTAGTGACAGCTCTCAGAGAATAATTAGGAGAAAACATTTGGACACATTTGAGAAAAGGCTTTCTTTGCTTTTAATCCGAAACAAACAGTAATCTAGGCTTGCCTACACAAAAAAATATGATCCTAAAATCAATCCAGTCATCATATAAAGCCATCACGTCACTTTAGAAAACTGATAAAACTGCTCAATTCATGGATTAGTTTTACAATCTCTTAATGAACTTTTTGAAGCATCAAATTGGTAGGTGTGTAGAAAGTCTCAGATTTTAATTTGTGATCCGAAGATTAACAAGATGAACTTTTGGAGCAACTTGATGGTGAGTAATAGTAACAGAATTTGCATTTTTGGTTGAACTTACTCTTTAAATTACGCATCAGCAAGGTATTACATTACAAGTCACTTTTTATTAATTTGATGATCTACTTACCGTTATTGTTGCCAGTGCCCGTGTGTGCAATTACAACTAAAAGCAAGATTATTTGAATCCCCATGATGAACATCTGTCTGTTTCTATCGTCAAATGTTCACTTCCAAAACCTACAGGCACTAGTGAATAAGCGACGTCCGAACGATTTGTGAGCCAGTCGTTCATTTGAATCTTTTCACTGAATCGGTTGAACCGATTGGCTAATGTCCGAACCAAGTAAAGTTTCTGGAAAGAATCGCTTGTTGTACAGCGTTTTAAAGTGGAAACATGGAAGCTATTTGTGTATTTTCTTTTCTTTTCATTATTATATATAAATATCTCATGAGAGACTAGCTATAATCGTTTATTTTGGGAGTGTCTCATAAAAAATGTTTTGGATCGAACTCAAGAACTACTAGGCTACTTGGATTCTTTACTTGGAATCTGAGAAACTGTCCAAATGTTTTGCTAAACCGTTTCATGCCAGGCCAGACAGACTCCAGTGGCCAAAGGGCATGACATCAGTTTCTCACAGTTTATTTTAATTAAATGTCTGTTTTTTAAAAGTAAATGAGTGAACATTTTGTTGTGCAATAAATCCTCCATTAAAAGCCACTAAGACAATATAAATGTTTTTAAATCATGTTTGAACCCGGACCAATTTCCCCTTATAGGAAAATTATAGGGCATATAAAACAGACTAAATGGACCTCTTAAAACATGTTTCTGCTGTTGTTTTTCAAATACAACCACTCCTTTTCAAAGATCTGTAATGTGTCATATATGTCACTCTGGGCGTTTATGATAATTTTTTATGTTACATATATTTCAAATTGGGCTTTTATGTCTCATTTGGAAAAAATGTCTCATTTTTTGTCAGTTTTCTTGCTAAATAACTTTTTTGGTTTATTTTCTTTTCCACAACATTTTCAAAATTATAAATAATAAAATAAAAATAAGTAAAAATAAAAATAGATAAAAAAAAATCAGAAGTAATAGTTCTTGCATTTTATTTGCTTTGCCACATATTTCAAAACCACATAACTGTGACCTTTTTAGGTATACGGTTTATATCAGAAATAATTTTTTAGATTATTTTTTTCACAACTCGAAAATGTGCAAACTGAATAAAAATAAAATCAAGTACAAATCATATTTTCCCACAAATCATTTTCAGATTTAAACACCTTATATTCTAAACCCCGTAACGGACTAAATTATATTGGTTTAAAAAGGATTTTGCTTCAAAACAAGAATCTACCTACTGCTCGTGTGTCTCTTAAAAACTACAAATGTAACATTTATGATAATATTCACATTTTGAAGTTAAAAATAGGCAAATTGTGTGTTTGTGGACTCATTTTCTAAAAAATACTCCCCTAAAACCTATAGGAATAATGATAAGTTCTGTGAAATGAATAATATCAATATATTACGTAAATACAAATCTGTTACAGATCTGTGAAAGGAAGGATATATCCCAGGGGGTCATACTGACTCGATAAAACTTTATAAATAATCCTCATGTTGAGAGCACCATTTATGGGCCGGTGATAGTATGTCAGGGCAATTTCAGCTAAGACCAAAAGTGGATCCCTATAGACCCCTTTTGCGCCGACGTCACTGTTACGTCACGGCGCTAGCTGGAGGCAAAACAAAGTGAAAACTGGAGGCGGCCAGTGCAAAACAGCACAGATTCGGCTACATAATAAGGAGCTTAAATAATTGTTACTATTATTAAATGTCATCTTGTTGTGTTGTTTGGTGCAAGAATTGATGAAAAATTAATATGCTGTATCTGGAACTTTTATTTCTAGAAAATATTCACATCATTAAAATCGCACTGTAATGTCACTATTTGCATTGTCGTGGTCTCCGCGCTGGCTCGGCAGAACTGCGGATCGTACACACAAGTCTTGTACAGGACCATATAGGCATCTAAAGATTTATATGCCCTCAGTTTCTCTTTACGATCGGTTTCTCTATAAGGTAGGTGTAGAAGTCAGGCCACTCAACCGAGGTAACGTACGTTAATCTTGTCAGATCATCCATGCATTGAGTGAGCGTGTAGGCGGCTATAGGTCGGCCAATCTGGTTCAGTCCGTTAAAAATAACTTTTGGAAATAACAATCGCGGTCCTGGATACTGAGTGACCTTACACATTAAGATAATATTAGATTTTCTCCAGTCATTGTTAAAAAACAAGCTAACAATCCTTGCTAACTAGGGTTAGTGAAGCGGCCAAATGGATCTTTCTGCCTCCACCTAAGCTCCGCCCACAAAAAAACGTCACCATGTTTACCAACTGTAAAAGGGTCTATACCTTTTCATGGGCTAGCCAGAGCGTTTGTGCTGGCCACAGGTTCAGAGCTAGCCAGAGTCAGGACTGAACCAATTTCTGGATTTCTGAGGAATAAGCTTCAGCCTGTTGGAGGTATATGGCAAGTTTTCTCTCAGTACTTCGTAGGGGTGGCATGACTTTTCCATAGTGCCATGAAGATATAGGGCATGTCCCACTTGCGTAACAATAGGTGTATTCCATCCACCTCTACACAAACTGTCTTGGTTTCCAGTAACTCAATGGCCTTTTGGTCCTGCTTGGATCTTGTGCACACCCTTTCATTCGTTGCTCTTTGAGGTTTTGCTGCAGATACTCTAATACGTGATGAAGAGTAATCATCATTAAATGACTCCACTGCTTCTTCTCTCATATTAACTGGTGAAGCTGATTTATAAAGACCCATATCCACCTCATAATCTTGTACATAGGCTGGACCGAAGGGTTTACTGGTGCCGAACTGGGTGACATCTTAATCCAGGGGAAGGACCATTTGTTGGGTCTGGAATTGGAAATTTGAATTAGGACTGTACAATAAGCAACACTCGCCCTGGATGGTCAGGAACTCAGTCAACCACAATTTCCTGCTTCGATGTCTTTTCTGAAGCGTTTGCGTGTGGTCTGTACAAAGATAAATACAAATTACAATAAGTAAATAATACATACTTCAGATCCAATTATTTAACAATCCAATATAGTTAGCAATGGTACTATGGCAAGCCGTTTAGCTTAAATTGTACCCAGCCTTACTCGTCATAATTTCATTTTTACTGTAATTCTATTCTTACTAGTAAGAATGCAAGAGCTCTGTAATTGAATTAGAGCTCTACAATTATAATTGTTACTAGTAAGAATTGAATTCGAGAGCTCTCTAATTGTAATAAGAATTGAATTGTAGAGCTCTCTAATTGAATTGTTACTAGTAAAAATGAAGTTATGACGAGTAAGGCTGGGTACAATTTAAGCTAAAACGGCTTGCCATAATGGTACAATCTGTGTGGAATATTACTTGCAATAAGCGGGAAATACATTAGCGCCATGATTAGCCATTAGCATCACAATAGGCCATTTAACTAAATCGCCATCAACTCACACTTATACTTGCAATTTACTCCAGACATCTTGAACATAAAAAACGATCTCTCACTTTCAACATAAAATATGACAGCAGTAGACTCATTTGCGATCGAATAATTCGATGACCGATGAGAATCGTGCGTATACGATAGTTAGACACCATAAAACACTCGAATTTAGTTACAATAACTTAAACAATCAACACTCATAAACAAGATTACAACATGAACTTTCTTCTAATGTGTAGGCTGGAATTAACTCACACGATGCACACACACATAACACTCAAACAGGGATCGGCTTGCTTTTCTCCTCAGTACACTAAGCGGCATCAATATTAAAAGGCACACGCAAAGCCGTTTGTACAATAATAGTAGATAATATTACAAGTTTTTAATAACATTATTGGCAATTGCAGAGTTTATCATATCAATAAACATACAAATATTATTCAATATCCTGTAAGGATGGTGAAAGTGTTCTTATATACACCTCACATATTTCCTCAGGGCAATAAGTGCATATAAACTGAACCAACAAGCACTGTCAGCTTTATTTATTTATTTGCCTTATGAAAACAGATATACTTAACACCACCTTTTTAATACCTGTAACATATCCTGTGTGTGGCCGGAGTTAGTTTTCATTGTGTTCATGTTATGCTTCACCCAGTTTGCCCATGTGTTTCATTGTTTTAATCCCTGTTGTCTTGTTAATTACTTTTATTTTATGAGTTAATTTGTCCCAACTGTGTCGGTTTCCCTTATCTGTTCTCTGTGTAAGCCTGTGTTTCAAGTCAAATAAATTTTATGTGCAGTAGTTTTTATTAGTCTTTAGCGAGTATAAGGTTGTGTAGTCAAGTGTCTCAAATGTTTTCAAAGTCTGAGAACTCAGTGTTTCACGTCAGTGCAATTATTTGAGGAATGTCTACAGAGACTGAAGAGAGAACAAGATTCTGGATCAAAAAGTCTTAAAATATTCAGTGTTATGTTAATGTTTACTCTGGAAGACAGTGACCAGACAACAGAAGAATAAATCTAAAATTGTTGTGACCTGAATCTGTACAGTATGTCCTTTTTCTTTATAATCATCTAACCAGATGCTCTATTTCCTGGCAAACATGATAGATATGATAGACACATGGGGGTTTATGTCTCAAATCATCAGAATTTGCTTTTATTGATGTTCCCTGGAGGAAAGCAGGGCTTTGAGAAACACTGTTTTCTGTCATCTGAAAAGCCAGAATCACAGATAAAAACAACTCTCCATTGCATGATCAAACTAGGCATACTGTTTTTTAGTTTGGACATGGTCTTTGAAGTACCAAGGAATACATAATGTAAACACATAAACATAAACTTTTAGTGCCATCAAAGTATTTCTTTGTGAGTCACACACATGTTGGTGAGAATAACAAATGAAATCTGAAATACATACTTCGTCCAGCAGATGGCGGAGGAGGAACGGTTAATGAATGGTTGCTGAGCGACAAGGACGCAAACGAATCCGAGCTGCGCATGCGCTGATACTGTCCGTGGCTGAAACCTGCTGAAGCCTTGGAAATAAAAATAACGAATAAGTAATCACATTATTACCAACCATTGAAGAAACGTGTAGTTTTTTGTTACGCTTGGAAAGGCATTTTAATGGCTGGTAAAAAGAAGGAGATTAGTTTACAGGTTTGTTGGACGAAAGCTTTATGAGGGAAACGTGGTTTTCTAGTTTATTTACTTTGTATCTAAACTGAAATATGTCTGACAACTGTTGAAAAATTTTAAATTCAGATAAATATCAATAATGACGACCAATGGAGTGAAGTTCTGGCAACAAAAGGGTTAATCGGTGAGTGAAAGACTAACGTTAACTAAGTTAACTTCGTCTATCTATCTATCTATCTATCTATCTATCTATCTATCTATCTATCTATCTATCTATCATATAGCACACTTAAAAACATTACTATAGTCAAATTACTAAACAAAAGAATTTGTAATTCATTTTAAAGCACAAAAGCAATACTTTTGACAAAAAAAAGTTAGTCAGGTTAGAAATGAGAACAATAACTTTACATATTCATACATTTTATTTGTATCTTTCTTCACATACTTGGAAACATATGAAAAGAAAATATATTTCCCAGTACATGAATGAACAAATATATTAAATGCTATAACAGTGTTAAGTTGTGTTAACTATATGTTACAATATATTGAATAATAATACCTAAGGAATTGCCACTTTTCGTATATATAGAAAAATATGTAATATATCATAATGTATGTAATTTTATATTCAGTATTACACTCATAATACATAGATGTATATACACAAAGGATAATATTTACAAAATTATATGTAATGCTATTTATGTCTGCATGTATACATTTTTTATTTGAATCAATATATACTGTAGCCATACATGGTCAAAATATTGCAGTACATTGAAATGTATTATGTAACATATCACATCATATTTTGAAATATATTCCCATGTATTTTTGTTCCACAAGGGTCTGTCTGATGGGTTTCTTATTTGACAAACAAGTGTGTTGAGTTGTCAGTCTTGCAGTGATTGTTGTGTGTGTGTGTGTGTGTGTGTGTGTCAGTGGTTGATGTGTACCAGCAGTGGTGCGGACCCTGCCGTGCCGTCGTTAGTCTCTTTAGAAAGATCAAGAATGAGCTGGGAGACGACCTGCTGCATTTTGCCACGGTAAGATAAGCCGCTCTGGAGATTAGAGATTGCTCATAAACAATCATTCTAAATGTCGACATTTCTGTCACGCCGTCTTAACATCCCTGCAGGCAGAGGCTGATGGGATTGAAGCTCTGGAGAAGTACAGAGGAAAGTGCGAGCCCACCTTTCTGTTTTATGCGGTGGGTCTGAAACTGTACATCTCTCTCTTTACAAATCCCTGCAAACTCTTACGTACTACAAATTCGAACTCTAAATTAAAATGGGCAACCTATTAACTATTACAGTTTTTCTCAGTCGCTTTGGTGCATTTCTCACTTTGCACAACAGTTAGTTCAACCTCCACAACTTTTTGTCATTTGTGCACATCATAGTAGCAGTTTCTCATTCACATTCACAAATTGCAAATGCTTTTGGACATGCATCAATTGCTTTCATACAACTCTCTTCTGTTTTATAACATTAGCATTTGCTTATGTCATATCAGTCCAAATTAACTATACTTGTGAATGCTGAATAGTCATTCCATATAAAACTAATAGTCCTCATTTCATGGCTTGAGTCATCACATACAAAAATGTTAAACTAGTTGTCAAAATCAGTCAAGCAATTTTTTTTTATCTTTAAAAAACCCTTTTTTATCCTAAATTGATCAATTTCTCGCAGCTTTCACTGATGAGAGGAGATGTGCATGAATGATTTACAGTATATGTATGTTGTATGTTCAGTTCCAATATGTACTGTGATATTGTTTACAGTTGTGCACCGATCTACCCAAAGAGAGTTTGTTTGTTGTAAATAAGGGTGTATTTTTTTATATTTTGCACAATGCTCTGAACAAACTAGAATGGCAAAGACTATGCAGTAAAAATGTGAAACATACATATTCAGTGTATTGTACCTCACTAAAAACAGTAATGTGAAACTTTACTGTAGTTTTCAAATGGCTGTGCAAATAGTTTATAGGAGTGTCTGGAGCATTTTCAGGTAGTGTCACCAAGATCTGACTTTTTTGCATTGGCAAACACTTACAGAGTAAACTGTCATAATGAAAACATGACAAAGCCACTTGACTATCTTTGTTCATAAACACTGGTGTTAGGATTTTTCATCATGACGACACTGACACTTTCAATGACATGAATACTTGCTTTTGATGAATGAGTTATCCATTTTGAGCAAGTGACACACTTTTGCAGGTTATCAACTAAGTTTTGGAGTTTGTACTAATTGTTTTGAGAACTGCATTAACTGTTGTGCAAATGTAAATAGTGATGTGAGAAATGAACCAAAGCGACAGAGAAAAACTGTAAATAAGGACACATGCAAGCAAATATTCACCCCAAAATGAATGAAAGAAGAAAAAAATACTGTGCGATCCCGCTTTTAGGACTATTCAAGTTTATTTTCCGTAAATATTTATTTACTGCAAACCCATACGTTTTTTGTTTTTTTTTGGGTGAACTATCCCTTTAATTGTCATAAAAATAATGCATAGAATGCGAAAAATGTTCCTAAAACAGGCTTAAATTTCACATATGTGGTGTTGTGTAAAGTGGCATGGCCTTTTCCTGTAGTATGCCATGTTAAGGCTGTGTGTGTGCGTGTGTTTAGGGTGGGCAGCTCGTGTCAGTAATGCGGGGACCGAACTCTCCTCTCCTGCAGAAGACGATACAGGAAGAGCTGAACAACGAGAAGAGCGTTCTAGAACACGGGGTCGCTCGCAGGGCGGTGAGTTACTTCACACACCTGACCTCTTTACTGTGGGGATTGCCTGAATCATCAAAACTAGAAATGGGATGAAATGGTGGAAATGTTGTCCGGTACGAGGTGTAATACGCATCACAGAAACTACTGCTTGCTGAATAATGCATTGATATCATCCATATTATATAATAAGTTTATATACACTACCGGTCAAAAGTTTTAGATCAGTAAGATTTGTTATGTTCACCAATTAAGGCTGCTTTATTTGATGAAAAAAAACCCAAATGAAATGACAGACAGTAATATTGTGAAATATTATGACAATTTAAAATGACTGTTTTCTATTTTAAAATGTAATTTGAAAGCTGAATTTTCCACATCATTACTGTTGCTGATTACACATCAGTTTTCAGTGTCACATGATCCTTCAGAAATCATTCTAATATGCTGATTTTATGCTCAAAAAACATCAATTATTATTTTCAATGTTGAAAACAGTCGTGTACCATTTTCCGTGTACCAGAAAGTTCAAAAGAACAGCATTTATTTAAAATATAATCTTTACTGTAACTTTTGATCAATTTAACTCATCCTTGATAAATAAAAGCATTATCTAATTTCTTTCCCCCAAAAATAAAAAATAAATTCTTACTGCCCCCAAACTTTTGAATGGTAGTGATTAATGTTACAAAAGCTTAATTTCCATTTCAGATCAATTCTGTTCTTTTGAACTTTCTATTCATCAAAGAATCCTGAAATAAAAATGTAAAAAACTGTTTTCAACATCGATAATAATCATAAATGTTTCTTGAGCGTCATATTATAATAATTTCTGTAGGATCATGTGACACTGAAGGCTGGAGTAATGATGCTGTAAATTCAGCTTTGATCACAGGAATAAATTACACTTCACTATATATTCACATAGAAAACCGCTGTTTTAAATTGTAATAATATTTCACAATATTACTGGTTTTTTTAATCACATAATTGCAGCCTTGGTCAGCAGAAGAGACTTGTATGTATGGTACGTTCTGCACAGAAAAGGGCATCATCTTCAATGAATGCAATCATGTTTTATTCCTATTAGTAATTCAGCACACAAAGATTAATGTCATGAAAGATGACATTTGGTTTCATGTGTCACTCCAGGTGAAAGATGAAAGTTTAACTGAAGAAGAGGTGAATGGTGACATTGAGGATAACCCACATGATGAAGATCTGAGTGGTAATGATCTTTCCTTCATCGTGTTTAATTGTAGTTTCTCCTGTTTGCTGTGTTTACCCACACTGGTTTTGTGTTTTTTGTAGCTGCTGATAATGAGTCTTACACAGTGGCAATAATAAAGCCCGATGTGGTGGCACACGGCAAAGCAGACGAGATTATTATGAAGGTAAGAGCTCAGTTTAAGGGACAGGAAGTTCGGTCATTGTTTACTGGCCATCTTGTTGTTTCAAACCCGTATGCTGTTTTTTGTTGAGAAATGATAACAGATTTTTTTTTCTTTAAAGGGACACCCTAAAATGAAAATGAAGTCCTCATTTACTCACCCTGGTGTTGTTATAATGCAGTAGGCTCTTCTTTCTTTTATGGACTGCAAAATGAGAATTTTGTAATTTAACTCCATATAATGGCAGTAAATAAAAAAGCTTTAAAAATATGCAAAAGTATCACAGAATGATCATGCAACAAGTGTTCTGAGGGTTTATGATTGGGTTTGGTGAAATCAAACTTAAATTTACGTTTAAAATAATGCATATATAAGCCACGTATTGCATGGGATCATTCTGTGTATTTTTTTTTAAAGCTTATACGCCTTATTCACGGCAGCGCCATCTTTGATTTTTAATGAGAATGAAAGCGAGGCTGTGAGGGATAGACACGCATCTCTTCAATGGGCTGTACTGTTATTTAATGTGTTTTCGGATTGTTCTGCTCATGAAACACTGGAAAAATATCTTTCCAAGACATTTCAGTTGACAAAAAAGTCCTGACAATGTAAGCTGCGGAAAATTGAGCCGCTTTATTCAGCTTTTTACAGCGGATGCCATTGGAAACACTTTCATACCTGTCATGGCGCTGCTCTGAATAAGGTCTATTGCTGGTCGCTATACTATGGAAGCTTGTTTCCGCCACTGAATAAAAAAATAAAATAAATAATTGTGACTTTATCTCACAATTCTGACTTTTTTTCTCACAATTGCGAGTTTATATCTTGCAATTCTGACTTTATTTCTCAGAATTGCGTGATATAAAGTCGCAATTGCAAGATATAAAGTCAGAATTGTGTGATATAAAGTCAGAAATGCATGATATAAAGTCAGAATTGCGTGATATAAAGTTGCAATTCTGAGAAAAAAACATAGAAGTACGACTTTTTCTCTCACAATTCTGACTTTATATCTTGCAATTGCGACTTTATATCACGCAATTGTGAGAAATAAAGTCAGAATTGCGAGATATAAACTCGCAATTGTGAGACAAAAAGTCAGAAGTGCGACTTTTTATCTCACAATTCTGACTTTTTCTCACAATTGCTAGTTTACATCTCGCAATTCTGTCTTTATATTATAACACATAATTGCGAGTTTATTTTTTCAAAATTCTGACATCTTTTCTCAGAATTGTGAGATAAAAACTCGCAATTGCGACTTCTCAGGCCAATTCAAAGGGGAAAAAAAGACTAACTTTTTTTCCCCTCAGAATAGTTTATATCTCACAATTCTGACTTTATATCTCACAATTGCGACTTTATTTCACACAATTCTGACTTTATCTCGCAATTCAGAGAAATAATCGAGAAGTAAACTCGCAATTGTGAGAAAAAAAGTCAGAATTGTCAGATAAAAAGTCGCAATTACCTTTTGTTTTTTTCATTCTATGGCGGAAACAAGCTTCCATACTATTCACTGCTATTAGCAAGATGACAAGCGTGAGCGTGACCTTTTTAAAATATTCTCATTTTGTCGTCCAATAAAGAAAGACTGCATTAGAACAACACCAGGGTGAGTAAATGATGACTTCATTCTCATTTTACGGTGAACTGTCCCTCTAAGTTGCTTATATTAATATGATCCTATAAGCTTTCTACACAAATAAACAGCTAAAAATGTACTCCTGAATGCATATTATATGATTTTGTTTTTAGATTCAGGATGCAGGTTTTGTGATTCTAGCCCACGAGGAGAGAACGCTGAGTAAAGCAGAAGCTGAAGGCTTTTATCGACACAAAGCAGCAGAGGTAAATGAAGGAGCTTCGGTTAAAGTCTAAAAATAGCATGTGTTTTAATATTTTGGCTGATGGTGTGTAATGGCAGCATGTCCAGTGTGTCATGTAAAGGGGGTGTGTGTGCTTGCGTGTTCTTCCAGCCTTACTTTCAGGAACTCATCCAATTTATGTCGAGCGGGCCGTCGCATGTCCTGGTCATTTCTATGACGGAGGGCCGTGAGGACGTCATCCCAGCCTGGCGGGAATTCATCGGTCCACCGGATGTGGAAGAGGCCAGGACCAATCAGCCAGAGAGGTACCTCATTCACAGGAAGACAAATATACAGTATAGACTTTGATGAACATAAGCAGTCTCGCTGACAAATTTCATATAGTGAAAAAAATTCACTCAAAAATGTTTTTAATATAAATTTTATCAAGGAATTGTATCTGAGCTGAATTTAATTTATGATTGAATTTTTATTTAATTATTTTTTTTTTTTTTTATTAAAAAAATGTAATTTTTAAAATAAATATTTAATTATTATAATTTTTTTTAAATATACAGAATAAATGAATAGTCCACAAAGGATGATTTTCATTTTTCATTTATTTGTCTTTTTTTTTTTTCATTTAATGTCAGAATGCAAAAAATAACAAAATCTAGATGGTTATTGTTAACTAAAACTATTATGGATTGTTTCAATCTGCAGTAAAATATAAATATTAGATTAATATGAAAGATTGAGACTTAAAAACTTAGAATTTAACGGAAAATTAGAAACGTTACGTTGTCAACTAACTAAAATGAAATAAGTTAAAGTAATAAAATGGAATATAAATAAATTAAACTGAAAAGCTAAAATTGAAATATAAATATGACAAATAAACTAATTCATAATATTAATAAAAATTAGTTAAAAAAATTGGATAAGACTATAGAAATGTAATATACTATTATATGTTTTCCTTTGAAAATTTTTGTTTTTTATATATTTTTCTCTAGTAAATTATTATTATTAAAAACTTAAAAACATTACCTTGTCAACTAACTGAAATGAAATAAGTTCAAGTTCAAGTAATAAAAATGAAATATAAATAAATTAAACTGACAAAAGCACATAAAAAAAGATTAAAGCTAAAATTAAAATATAAAAATGACAAATTCATAATATTAATTAGTATATATATATATATATAACTGCCTAAAAATAAGTTTAAAAAATTTGGATAAGACTATAGAAGAAATGTAATATACTATTATATGCTTTCCTTTGAAAATAGTTCGTTTTTATATATTTTTCCATAGTAAATTATTATTCTAAAACTGATTTTGTTGCAGTATTTATACATTTACAAATGACATTGTCTCTCTGATGTGTGTATAGTGTAATTTTGTAAGGAAACATACTTTAACAGTGATACGAGGGAGTTGACGTTCCATATTGTGCTCACAGATTTGAGCACTAACAGTTTTAGCACAACACATCCTGTGTGGACTCTTGCCTCCCCCCAGCAGTGAGACCATCTGCTCTTCTCTCTCTCCATTTCTCCGTTTCTCGGTCCATCCATCCCTGCTGACCTCCCTCTTTCCGGCCGTTGTCTGTTCTTCAGCTTGCGGGCTCAGTACGGGACCGAGACCCTTTCGAACGCTCTACATGGCAGCTCTGACAGCGAGCAGGCCAGCAGGGAGCTGGCTTTCTTCTTCCCGAACTTCAGGATGGCGATGGCGGGCTCGAGCTCGGAGCGGGCCGGGCCGGAAAAGGAGCATGTGGAGAGGACGCTGGCGCTCATCCGCCCAGACGCTGCCAGGGAAAACAGAGGCATGTGCCAACATTACGTTCACACGCACAGAACTGCGGCCCCGTGGGTGCAGAGTCAGACAGACACTCCTACAGTACCTTCACTGAAGCACTAACATACACTGCCTATTAAAAGTTTGAAGACACTCATTTGTTTCACACAAAGCCACAATATAACACTTTTCAGGTGAGTCGGCCTACATATATGGTATTTATTGGTCTCTACATCATTCCCATACCAGCTCAGTGATATTTGAATATAGTATTATTAAAGAGCCCCTATCATGGACTTTTGGTGTGGACTATAGCTCTAAGGGAATGAAAACATCCTGCAAAGATTTATATCTGAAAGTGCGCCGTATATAAAGTTATTGTCTTTCGAAAGGGAGAGTCGACTCTGAGTCTATGAAATGAATTGTTTTTGAAACGAGTCATTAGCTGGTTCGTCGTGACGTAGAGACATACTGGCCGCGCGCAGACGAAGTGTAAACTTGAAGTCTACACATTCAAACACTTCATCATAGCATCATGTCGAGAAGACGCTGTGTTCTACAATGCAAAGATAGTTCAGCCACTTTGTTTTCATTTACCAGGGACGAGCATGTGAAGAATCGGTGGTTAGAGTTCATATTTGCAGCGATACCACAACAGTATAGCCCGATTGTGTTCTCGTCATTTTTAGCCTGATGGTGGACTGTCGCTCAGAAGACACACTTGTTATTGTAGCCTAATATCCTCCTGAGGCCCAGAACGTTTTTTTTTTGTTTTTTTTCAAAAGTTTTTTTTTTCTTCTTCATGTAATCACATTGTTAAGAGCATAAGAAACAAATGAATATAATATATATGAAGAGTTCAGATGCAAAAGCCTCTAAGTGTCGTTTGAAATTTTCTTCTAGAATGATCATTTTTATCAAGCTTGTATATTAAAGTTCAGTAATTTCACTTAAATTGCAACGAGGATTACCTATTAATTGTCATTTAAGTGAAATTACTGAACTTGAATATATAAGCTTGATAAAAATGATCATTTTAGAAGAAAATTTCAAATGGCACTTAGAGGCTTTTGCATCTGAACTCTTCATATATATATATATATATATAGGACTCGATTGTTTAAAAAAAATGACATGAAATTATATATAGGCAAAAATAACGGCAATATTCGAAAATCGATAATTATTATTATTATTTGTTTAAATTACATTGATATCTGAATTTATGTAAAAACCTAGACTTTCAAACATCAAAATGTAATTTATTAATATGTATTCGTGTACAAAATGACATATAAACGTAGTTTTCTATTTATTTATTTATTTTTGCCTGGAAACGCTTTCAATACGCTTGTGTGAAAAATAGGCGTCAGTTCTATTTCTAGCATGCACGCGTTTTCTGGAGTGTGTCACGCAGGCAGTGTGCAAGCTCTAATCTGTTAACATTAGAGAGCCGAAATAAAAACGGACACGCCACGCAGCCAGTGTGTCGACTTCAAGCGGAATCTGTCCGAGCTTACGTCTCACACAATCGGAGCGTAAAAATACAGGATATTTTACGGTAAAATACTAAAACGGGAAAAGAGCTAAAATTCGCGAGAAACCCGGAAAAAACGGGAGGGTTGACCGCTATGAACCGATAAACTCACGGTGAAGATCTTTTTCGTTCTTTGCTTAGAAGTAGACATAGACATATACACTAGACGTCACCTTGGCTACGGCAGTTGGAACGAATGCGTCAATAGAGCCGCCATCTTGAAACAGGGGAGCCCCTCCACTTTAATGCATCAGCGTCAATGTAGACACAGGTCTAACGGAAATAAAATCACCATAAATGCGATTTTTCTCGTTTGTTCCAACAGTCAGACATGTATTTTTCATTGATTCCAGAAAAAAACAATTTTTTAAACATTCTTAGTTCAGACTTCATCCATGAACATCTTACGCTGCCCAAAAGTCCGCCACCATCAATGAATTCGAAGTGAAGGCAAAGATAGCAGGGTTACCTACTTCCTACTTCCTATGACAAGACCCCTGTTCCAAGATGGCGGCGGTTTTGACGCATGCTTAGAACCCCAAGGTGAGGTCTAGTGTATGAGAAGAAAAGAAAAGTTGAAAATACTTTCGCAGAGATATACTGTTAATGAACATCCTCAAAATGTGCACAATTTTGCTACTCTCAATAACAAAATAAACACTCAACAAAAACGACAGTGGTGAGAAAACAGCAGTTCAGAAAGATGTGGATGTTTGCAGCAGATCTGAGATACACAGGCATCATGTCGACAGATTAAAGTGACACTGTCATAATAGTTTGATTATTAAGTAATCAATCCTTTATGCATGGCCTAGCAAAAACGTCCCGATTCCTTCATAGAAAATCAGTCTACAGGCTTTCATAGACAACCTAGGAAGTCCTAGGAAAGTGTTTTGTTAAGTTTCTTTACTAGTTCACAAATTGGCTGATCTGAAATGGTTAATACATGACAATTCTTACATATAGCCCCTTTAAAATAGCCTTTATTTTACATTTTCTCTATATTAAACTCTCTTATATTAGTGTATATTATTTTACAATTAGTTTTAATATTTTACTTTAAGTTTTAGTAATTTTGTAATGTGCTCTCATTTTTTTGTAAGTTTAATTTTTTTCACCTAATATTCACCAGCTTTATTTTAATTAAAGAAAACAATTTCTAATAATTTAAGTTAAAGGTGTAATAATTTTTTTTTGTAATGCCGGTTGAAAGTCTCCTCAAATTCCGACGATAACAATGTCTAAATGTATTTTTGTATCGTCTGTGGAAGGTGTAGGACCATTTAATATTCATTAAATCATTGCATTAGGTTCGAATCAAATGAAAGCATGTGTTCCTTGTCAGTCAACGTGTGTTTCCATACCATCGTCTTCTTCAGCGCGTTCACGTACGCTGTGCCAACTGAGCGTCAATGGCAGGCAAACAGTACTTTCAATAAAGTTAGCATGTCCCAGATCACCTATTGCACCTTTAACAATACCAGCACAGTTGTTATTTTGTAGTTTTGATGACAAGTAGATGTGTGTAAATCAGAGCACTTACGATCAGGAATAAATGGTGTGAGATGAAATGTGTTTGCAGAGGAGATTCTGGCCAGGATCCATGAAGCAGGTTTCACAGTGGCCATGCAGAAAGAGATCATGCTGTCGGAGGATCAGGTCAGACAGTTCTACAGCTCTCATGTAGAGGAGGAATACTTCCCCAGTTTACTCCACAACATGACCAGGTCAGCTCACACACACTCTACATCACTGTGCCGAATCAGGTGGTTTATTACTTAAAAACGGTTACGGCACAACAGTGAAATGATAAAAGACACCAATGTTCAACAAATAGTTGCATGCATTATTAACAACAATTAGAATTATAGCCAAGCAATGTAGCTTATTCTTGTAGTTTTACAATGGGTTTACAACCAATCAAGTTCCATTATACAAGGAAAAGCGAAGTTCAGATTGAGTTTTATAGTTGGAAATCAGCATACACAAGCGTATTTGAGCATGTCTACTTTTTTAGATGTCAAATCAATAAATTATGGATGCACCAATTTAAAAATTGTCCGCTAGCCGATAAATCTCTATATTTGAAAGCCGATAACCGAGACATTGGTTGATAAATCTAAATCCAAAGTTTTATATAATTTTGAGAGCCCGATTACAAAAACAAGTCTCATCATTAAAAGCCACGTCCAAACACAATTATATATAAATGTTCTCATTATAATTTTTTTTTTTTTTTTATCCCTTTATTTTCAATTTTCATGAAGACAACCTACATGCACAATGCCACCAATCAGCAACTATACAGTAGTACGGCTAAATATATTTCTTAAGCAATATTATTGTACATGTTACATTTAGCTGAATACTTAACAGCTTTTTAGAATTAGAACAGCCCTCCCTTCTCATTATAATTGACATATGACAGACCTGTGCTACACGGTGCACTTAAAGGGATACTCCATTTTTTTTTGGGAAATAGGCTCATTTTACAACTTCCCCAGAGTTAAACTGTTGAGTTCCACCGTTTTCAAATCCATTCAGCCGATTTTCTGATATTTATAAGAATATCAGTAACCAGACTGGTCTCATTGACTTCCATAGTAGGAAAAAAATATACTATGGAAGACAATGAGACCAGAAACTGTCTGGTTACTGATATTCTTATAAATATCAGAAAATTGGCTGAATGGATTTGAAAACGGTAAAACTCGACTGTTTAACTCTGAGGGAGTTGTAAAATGAGCCTATTCCCAAAAAAAATGGAGTATCCCTTTAAAGGAGTAGTTCACTTTAAAAAAAACTTTTGCAGATAATTTACTCACCCCCATGTCATCCAAGATGTCCATGACTTTCTTTCTTCAGTCGAAAAGAAATTAAGGTTTTTGATGAAAACATTCCAGGATTTTTCTCCATATAATGGACTTCAATGGGGTCCAAACAGTTCAAGGTCCAAAACACAGTTTCAGTGCAAACTGCAAACTGTTCAAAGGGCTTTAAACGATTCCAGACGATGAATAAAGGTCTTATCAAGTGAAATTAAAAAAATCCTAATCTGTAAAATTGCCTGTAAACACTATAATTTAACTTTTTTTTTAAAAAAAATGATAAACCTCACATTTCAGATAACTTATATAATATATTAGTATTGAAATAATTCTAAATATAAAATAATAGAAGAGTCCACACCACTACATATTTAATTAGTCTGAATGGAAATACAAATTCACTCTCTGACAGATAAAAAGTTCTTAGATTTGCCTAGAGGTGAAGAATTTGCAGGTATGAATATACTATTCATTCTGAATCTGAATTATGGATGCTAATGGAATTGCTCTCTAACGAAAAATGAGTCTAAACGTATTCATATCTTCAGTTTAAGCGTAATTGTACTTTTGGCCATGTAGTTATGTGCATACAGTACTATCTATCTATATAATGATATAAAGAAGCCAGAAGAAGAATTACAGTGGTCCCGGTGTAACGAAGAGTCTCTGTTCTGCTGTGGTTCACAGCGGGCCTGTGTTAGCATTAGCGCTAGTAAAGCAAGGAGCCGTGGAACACTGGAGGAACATCCTGGGACCCAAAGACCCCGTCCAGGCTAAAAGTGAAGAACCTAACAGGTGAACCGGTGTCTTTTCTTCAGGACGTTTCCCTCGTCTAAATGTTCCAGCTCAACGTAATGTGTTATTGTACATCATATCATGTTATGTATCATATAAGCAACTCTGAACTAATATTTTAAGGTGCCCAAAGATATTTCTGGCACTTCTGCTGCTGTATAGAAAAAGTGGCTCATTTTCATTTACAGAAACTAGGCGTGATATTCGAAATTAAATTTATAATAACAACATTTACTTAATATAATTCAATTAAATAATTCTAAACAATTAATTAAAATAATTTACATTTAAAATAAAATAAAATTAAAATAAATTACAAATAAAATTAAAGAAGCAGTTTCAATAACTAAATAACTTTTTTTTCAGAATTTACATTTCTATTATTAATGGATTTACATTTTTGTTTTGTGAATTACACATTCGTGATTCCAGATTTTTTAAACTCACAAATAGCAATTCCACAGCAAATTCTTCCCAATAGAATATTTTAGTATTAATATTTTATATTTGTTTTAGAAATGTTCAAAATTTTACTAAATTCCATGACTTTTCCAGGTCTAGAAATCACGTTTTTAAAATTGCTAATTTTTCCAGGTTTTACGAGACTATGCGAAACCTGTTTTTTAAAATAAAAATGGCATGTGTTGAGGGAATTAGTTCAAATATTATTTTTGAAAGTGTATTTAGTTTTATTTGAAGGCATCTTGAGGGCCGGTAGTGGTTGTGAACAACTCTCTGTGGTTTCTCTCTAGTTTGCGAGCTCAGTTCAGCGATGTGAACTCCAGTATTAACCAGCTTCACGGCAGCGGAAGCTCAGACGAGGCGGAGAACGAGATCGGCTTCTTCTTCCCACCAGAGGACACGCTCGCTGTCATTAAACCCCACACCGAACGCAAAGGTATGGTTTCAGCAGTAGCCCTGAACACCACTGAGGGATTTTAGCTCTGTAAATCCAAAGCTGAATGTTCAGCAGTGTCACATGATCCTTCAGAAATCACTCTAATGTGATGCTCAAAAAACATTTCTGATTAATGTTGATAACAGCTTAAACTGCTTAATATTTTTGTGGAAACTCCCCAGGATTCCTTATTTAATTTAAAGTTCAAAAGAACAGCATTTATTTGAAATACAAATCCTTTGCAACATTATAAATGTCTTTAATCTAACTTTTGATCAGTTTAATGCATCCTTGCTGAATACAAGTATTAATTTCTCACTTCTTTCTGACAAGTTTTGAACAGCAGTATATGAAATTGAATTGTAAGAATATTAATAACGAGGGTAAACGTCATAACTCGCTGTTCGTTTCTGCTTATATCAGAGGAAATCCTGGAGGAGATTCAGGCCAGAGGATTCTCCATTTCCCATCTGAAGGACACGGTTCTGTCCAGAGAGATGGCAGAGGAGTTTTATAAAGAGCACCGGGACAAACCCTTCTTCAGTCAGCTGGTGGATTACATGTGTCGGTGAGCATTAAACATCACTTAAAGGAGTAGTTCACTTTTGAAAAAACTTCTGCTGATTATTTACTCACCCCCATGTCATCCAAGATGTCCATGTCTTTCTTTCTTCGGACGAAAAGAAATTAAGGTTTATGATGAAAACATTCCAGGATTTTTCTCCATATAATGGACTTCAATGGGGTCCAAACGGTTCAAGGTCCAAATGAGAGTTTCAGTGCAACTTCAAAGGGCTTTAAACGACACCAGACGATGAATAAGGGTCTTATCAAGCGAAACGATCGGTTATTTCAAAAATAAATAAAAAAGTTTAAGTTTTATAAGCACAAATGCTCACCTTGCTCTGTTCTGTGATGCGCGTTCATGACTCTCCTGTTCGAACTCGTTCATCAAAATGAATGAATCTTTTTTCGAGTCATTTGGTTGATTCAAAGAACGAAATGACTCGAAAAAAAGATTCATTCATTTTGATGAACGGGTTCGAACAGGAGAGTCACGAACGCGCATCACAGAACAGAGCAAGGCGAGCATTTGTGCTTATAAAACTTAAACTTTTTTATTTATTTTTGAAGTAACCGATCGTTTCGCTTGATAAGACCCTTATTCATCGTCTGGTGTCGTTTAAAGCCCTTTGAAGCTGCACTGAAACTCTCATTTGGACCTTGAACCGTTTGGCTCCCATTGAAGTCCATTATATGGAGAAAATCCTGGAATGTTTTCATCAAAAACCTTAATTTCTTTTCCACTGAAGAAAGACATCTTGGATGACATGGGGGTGAGTTTGATCAGCAGAAGATTTTTTAAAAGTGAACTACTCCTTTAAGTGTCCATGCAGCTCATTAAGATTAGCAGGTAAGCGTCATGTGAAACGCTAAGATAAGACATGGTTCATTTTTCTATAGTGGCCCATGTACAATGATGGTTCTGACGAAGGAGAACGCGGTGGAGGAGTGGAGGGCGGCGATGGGGCCGACGGACCCCAGCGAGGCGAGACAAACGGCCCCAGATTCTCTGAGAGCGCGCTTTGCTAAAGACATGCTGGAGAACGCCATCCACGGATCCTCCAACATGGAGCACGCGCACCAGAAGATAAAGTTCATCTTTGGAGACATCGGGACCGAGAGCACGATCATCGACGGCGCAGCTTCACCTCCGTTAGGTGACCGAAACTTTAAGATACAAGTTTGTACTGAGAAACCGAAATCAACTGTTTTCATCTGGGAATAAAACTCTACTTAACGTAATATGTAAGAATAACGTTTTAAATCGACCTCAAATGTAGGGCGGGGCTTGATTTTGTCTGTGGGGAATTGATTGGATGGTTGTGGTTTGCTATTGGTGGATCTCATGTGAGTGACAGGTTGCCCCGCCCTTGTGTCAGTAAACACCTCATCGGATTTAAAATAAATAAAAAATCTTGTGACCTACAGAAACGGAGGAGAGCTTTGCGGAGCTCAAGAATCTACAAGCTTCAAGATCTCCTTCGTTTGATGACTCGAGGAACCAGACAGAGCCGAGCACTACAGGTTCAGAATTAAAGAAACAAGTCTAAAAATAGAAATTGGCGTTATTTACACAACCTCGTGTGATTACAAACCTGTCCTCTGATATTTCCCCATCACTATTGACTATTTCACAAGATGTAAACACTGGTCCAGAAGCACTTCCTGTTTCAGTTTTTTAACACTACATAAAAGCTGGGATAAAATACAAACAACAGAACATATAAAACTGAATCAAAAAGTTAAACAAACATCTTTAAGATTAAGTTAAGTTACAAACTGAAACAGGAAGTGTTTCTGGACCAGTGCTGTTTACATCTTGCAAAATGGTCTATAACCTGACACTGCATATAGAGAATTAATAAGCGAGTAATTAATAACAGAAGACTGATTTTGGGTGAACTGTTACTTTAGCAAGTTGATGAAAAGCGAATAATAATAATGAATGGGGCTGCACGATTCATTGAAATTTTAGTTGAGTGCGATTATCAAATCAAAGGCTGTGATTTAATGATATAGTCTGTTTGACTGTGTGTTTCAGAGTTACATTTACACACATGCAGCTTATAATAGTGTCTAACAGCGACTCGGGTCACAGTACATGTCTAGGATCACTTTATTTACTTTCAGTAACATTTGTGTGGACAGAAGTTTACAGCATTTCACTAGTAATCCGCCAAAATAAAAGCTCTAGGATTTTAAATGTCAAAAGCGGCAGGGTTTGAATGTTTGAAAGTTGATTTTAGTGAAAAATTAAATTTGTTACAATTATTTTTAAATATTCACTATACAGTATAATCATAATTTACAACAGTAATATGAAAATATTTTGAAAAAGTCAAGATTACTGTTGATCTCCACATGCAGAACCTGCTGAGGAAGAAATCCCCCCTGAGACGACAGAGAGTCACGCGGTGTCATCCGATGTGACCGACACACTCGAGACGCCCGCCTCCAGCCTGCAGGACACAGGTCTGTGTTTCAGTGACTCGTGATGTTCAATCAAGGACAAGTTTATACACAGATTCTTCAGGCATGAGATTAAATATGGTTCGGAAACATCAACATTTCCACTTTGGCATTAACTGTCAGATATAAAGGGTCCAGTCATGATCATTTACAGGTTCATCATGGGGTTTACTACAATATGTTTACATCATTTTATGTTTAAAAAACTTAATAACTTTTTTTTATATATATAATTTACATTTTTGCATTTTTTTTTTATTGGAAACTTGCAAGAGCAAATCCATTACCAACCAAATATAAACACTACTTTATTCAGCAGCATTTTATCTGGTGTTGAGAAACAGCAAGGGAACTGAAACATGGAAGCGGCAGGTTTTTGCACCCAAGCGTAAAACACACATTAATCGGAAATAATTCCTTGATGCATAAACTTTTATTTATTGATTGTTAGATAAAAATTTTTTTGTCCCATGTCTCAAGAATCAGTGATCAAACTCACGTCAGAAACGAGATAAACATTAATCACACAAAGTCAGTGACTTTATACTGGAACTATGAATAAACTTTATTATATCTTTCACTTTTGATGACAGATTCCTGAAATCTGCACAATCATCTGTCAAAAAGAGGAGAGGTAAAGATGAGGTGTCAAGAACATTCATGAGAACCAGCGTTAAAATGATTCAACGAGTCAGTGACAGATTCATTAAAAGAATCAGTTCTTGTGTAAATCAAATAAAGTGTATATTTTATCATCATTATACTAGTATTTGTTCATATTTTTGAATTAGACTATTTAAAAATGTCAGTTATTTGTTTTAATTTTAGTACAATTTTTGGTCATTTTGTTGTTTGTTTTTGGTTTATATAAATGTTTTGTTTATTTTAGTTCTTCAACTTTAACTGAAAATAAGACATGTTGCCTTAATGTAGCTGATATTAAAAAGTTTATATATATACTTTTAGTTCATGTTTAATTTATCGTTTATTGTTCTAGTTTTTGTTAACACTAATAACCCTGTTTGTAAAAGTTTTCTTTTGTTCTCCACCAGTTTGGAGCTGACCTGAAGGCATCTGGATGTGCAACAAACAGCCAGTGATTTGTGGTTTCATCTTCAGTCATGCATCTCTCAGAAATCATTTACATCCTCTTGTGAATTAAACGCTCTTGTCTGGATAAATCCTTTGATACTTTATGATCTGTTTGATTTTTGGCCCTTTTTATTTCATTTTATTTTACCGCATACAAATGTGACGGACTTGACAAAAACAAATCCAATGATTGGCTTTCAACCAAAGCAAATATTTAGTCTAATTTCATGTAATAATTATTGTTCTTACTGATCTTGGTCGATGAAACTGAGCATCTCCTCCTCATCGAAGGACCGCTGAAACATTTCTGTGATGGTCAGCTGCTGAGGGTCCTGACAAACAGCAGGAGGGTTGAAAACAGGACATGTTTCAGAATGAACAACATCTATTCAATAATCATGTAGATATTTTCTTTGATTATTCTAAAAGCTAAAGCTTTCTACAGTGATTTCAATAAAAATGGTGGAAGTGAAATCTACATGGTTTTTACTGACGGTCAAATGCTGAAAGTTTGGACACTAACCTTGCTGTGGAAGCTGGCAGATTCTGCCGTCTCAGAAATGTTTGATTCGGACAGGCCGACCTGCTCCAAAACATTCATTTTCTTTTGAATCATGGGCCTACAAGCAAACACCAATGATCAGTGGCATCACGTACACTGAAATTAACTATACATTGCAGAAACAAAACTGAATTTGAAAAAAATGCATATGTGTAACTATGTATAACTTAGTTAACTATTTTCCAGACAAAATGATCTGAATCTAAATTTAAGACTGTAGTAACCATTTAGGGCACAAAGTGTGATTTAAAATGGTAAAAAAATAAATGAACAGCATCTAATATGTACAGTAGTGTGCAAAAAGTGATGTCCGGACTAGGAAAATCTATATCGTCACACTTTAATCAAAAATTATTTCAAATTTTGTAAGCATAGTGTAGTTGTGCTTAAAGCCGATTGATTTACTAGTCATAATATCGCAATGAAATGACAAATTGAGCTGACATCATTTCTGGCCAGGCTGTCATACAAAGAAATTATGAACACATGCAACAACAAGTGATCCAACAGAATAGTAATAACTGCTTATGTTGTAGTCAAAGTGCCCTTTTTTATTTATTTTTTGCATAATAAAATAAAAACTGTAGCTGTAGTTTGCCTTTTAATTTTATAGCCAATTATTATTTAGCCAAATAATTTTGTCAGATAAATATCAAACCAAGTTTAGTGTAATATTTAAAATATTTTCCTCTTATTTTGATGGTTTGGATCTTGTAAGTCCATTAAAAACAAGAATTCCCTTTGAACATCACTTCTGGACACTATTATATATAGCTACTCTTTAGGATCGTATATATATATATATATATTGCACACAATTATTATTGCACAAATTATGAAGCAAATAAAATACAACAAATCCAATAATTCAATCATTCCAGTTCTGAAGGCTTGTTTTGTGTAAATGTCCTGATATTTGCAGGGGAAACGGGAATAAAGGATCTGCCCTTACCAAAGGTGATCGTCCGCGGTGCCTTTAGCCACCAGGTAATGGACGTCCACATTACTGGTCTGTCCGATCCTGTGCACCCGGTCCTCAGCCTGAATCAGGACCTGAAGGAAACACACACGTTTCATAAGTGTTCTGGCAGCACTCTCCATATCATTACATTTATTTTTGGTCCGGGTTTCTGAACCCACATGAGCGCTTGTTTCAGACTAAATGCTTTTCGACTCGAGATGAGGCTTTTATCCGGAACCGTTTCTACGGGTAGAGATTATGCGACAGGAACTCAGATCTGCATCACCTGAGAATCAGGGTCATCATATACTAAATTCTTGACATTAAAAGATATTTATTAGTGCTGGGCAATGATTAATCACATCCAAAATAAAAGATTGTGTTTACATAATATACATGTGTGTACTGTATGATAATTTTGTGTATATAAACACACACACACACACATGTATACATGTTATATATATATTTATATAAAACTTGTATATATATAAATAACACATTTTCTTAAATATATACATCAATGTGTGTTCATAGATACAAAAAAGTTAAACACAAACTTTTATTTTGGATGCGATTAATCGTTGCCCAGCACTAATTTTTATCAAAATCAAAATAACACACAGCAATTAAATTAAACAAAAAAAGTCAAACATTTAAAAGTGAGGTGTTGTATAATAGTTAAATTCAGGGTTCCCACATCTCATGACCAGTGAATCTCCATGACTTGAACTGAAAACCTCCAATTTTAATAGTTTACAAGTTGCATTCACAAATCGCAATTTGTGATATTCGAGATCTCCGCATGACTTTTCCAGGCCCGAAGCCACAGATTTAAAGGATTAGTTCAATTCAGAATTAAAATGTCCTAATGATTTACTCGCCCCCATGTCATCCAAGATGTCCATGTCTTTCTTTCTTCGGACGAAAAGAAATTAAGGTTTATGATGAAAACATTCCAGGATTTTTCTCCATATAATGGACTTCAATGGGGTCCAAACGGTTCAAGGTCCAAATGAGAGTTTCAGTGCAGCTTCAAAGGGCTTTAAACGACACCAGACGATGAATAAGCGTCTTATCAAGCGAAACGATCGCTCATTTAAAAAATAAATAAAACAGTTGAAGTTTTACACGCTCAAATGCTCTGTTCTGTGATGCGCGTTCGTGAGTCTCCTGTTCGAACTCATCAAAATGAACGAATCTTTTTTCGAGTCATTTAGTTAATTCAATGAACGAAATGACTCGAAAAAAAAGATGTGCTCATTTTGATGAATGAGTTCGAACAGGAGAGTGTCATTTAAAGCCCTTTGAAGCTGCACTGAAACTCTCATTTGGACCCCATTGAAATCCATTATATGGAGAAAAATCCAGGAATGTTTTCATCATAAACCTTAATTTCTTTTCGTCCGAAGAAAGAAAGACATGGACATCTTGGATGACATGGGGGTGAGTAAATTATCAGCAAAAGTTTTTTTTTTAAGTGAACTTCCCCTGACGAGTGTGGGAACCCTGTGAATCTGTTGGCGTCTCACTCCCGGGTTCCAGAAGAGCTCAGCGAACACCACGAGGTCGGCCGAGTGCAGCGTGATCCCCATGTTAGCGGCCGTGATGGACAGAACCGCCACACAGCTCTTCTGTGAAGACTGGAATCTGGTACACAACTGCTGTCGATCCGCAGACGGCGTCGATCCGTCTATACGAATGTAACCGATTCCCTGCACACACACACAACAACGTCAACACACTACTAGTGCTCATATACAGGCAAAACAAAATTACTCAGACATCAAATATCATTTTTAATATCAGGACACTATAGTTCATTTATGCAAGCGAGACCAGCTAAATAAAGTAAACTGTGACATATTAATACCCAAAGATACTTTATAAAGTGAAAAAATGTAGGAGCAAATATTATTTAGACGCTTTGACATGATTTTCTGTGTTTTCTGTAATTGCTAATGCTCTTTTTACACACACACTGAACAAAATGAAGCATTGCTTGCTCACTGGTTGAGCTAAACTGGTCTCATCTAATTGTGTAGTTAAATTTAACACATATTCAACATAATTCACGTGTGAGAGTCGAACAGAAGGACGGACAAAACCAGTCAAATATCCACTGATTTAATAACTCTGAGTTCTGCTCAATATTTTATTTCCATTATCAAAACTATAGAGAATAAACTGTGATATTGTGAGAAATGTTGAATATATTTTTGGACTGACTGTACATCAAACTCAACTATTACACACAAATCAGAATTCGCTCTACATCTCCTGAACGTTTATTAGGCATTTTGGTTATTTATGCTCTGATATAGAAATTCTTGTCAATACTAATTATTTTCACATCATCTGATAAATTTAATAAACAATACTAAAACACACTCTAGACTAGAAATAAAGACAGCATACCATACACACTGCACACTACTGGCCAAAAGTCTGTTATAATTATGACTTTTGAAAGAAGTCTCTTGTGTTCATTAAGGGGGCATTCATGTGAACAAAAATACAGTAAAACACTGAAATATTATTGCAATTTAAAAAAAGCTGTTTTCTATGTGATTATATTGTGAAATGTAATTTATTTCTGTGATTTAAAGCTTCATTTTCAGCATCTTTACTCTGTGTCACATGACCCTTCAGACATTATTCTAATATGCATCACTCCATGGATGGAGAACTATTCCTACTATAGAAAAACAAATATTGTTTATTATTAGAAATACTATTTCAGCTAATTTGAGTACAGTACAAGTCACAGCTGCATTAAAAGTATTATACCAAATTTGATGGAATCTGCAGACTTTAATTCGATTTATTTTAATGAATTCAAAGTTTTTTGTTTTTGTGGGAAGAAATAAATGTGGACAGACCTTCTCACCGAGTTCTTTGGTTATGCTATCCAGAACCAGTTTGTGATGAGCAAACACCAGAAACTTCTCTCGTCCGCACTCCAGCGTGTCTGAGATGTACTCCCTGGGGAATGCATTCAAACACTAGTATTTTAGTATCTTTGATATAAATATATTCTGTTTTCAATTTAGTATTTTTTAAGTAATTTTGTCTATATTGTTTTTATAATTTTTTTAAAAGTGGATCATTGCAATGTGTGATTACAACCCCTTCAAACACAGGCAATAAAAAAAGGATTCATTTTATAAAAAAAAGTTGCATATAGAACCTTTAATATAGAATATGTATTTTTACAATGGCTTAATTTGACTCATCTAACTAGTCTTAATAATAAAATTAATGCATGTTTCTCCATAAAGGGCCTGAATGAAGCGGAGTGATAGTGAAACGTACATGATGGCTCTGATCTTGGCCTCTGCTGTGTGGCTGAAGAAAACCAGGAGCGCTTCCTTTTCTTGTGACTTCTGCACATGAACACAGAAAAGCTCATCAGTAACAACACAAATCCTGTCATTATTCATTCACTCTCATGTCGTTTCAAACCAATATGCTGTTATAATGTTCTGTTGAACAGAAAAGAAGAATAAGAAAATAATGACAGAATTTTCTCAAATATGACTTTTTTGTTGTTGTTGTTTTTTTTTAAGGTCTGATCTTAATTTTTTTTAATGTTCCATTTTTCTTTTGTATTTATTTATTTATTTGTGTGTGTGACTATACTTGCCTGCTGTTTTCATTTTTTCCTAATCTGAATTAATGTATGGTTGTATGTTATACACACAGGTGAAATGCGAAAAATGTGAATATCGTGCAAAGGTTCATTTATTTCAGTAATTCAACTTAAACAGTGAAACTAATATATTATATAGAGTCAAAGTGAGATATAACCCGAAATTCAAAATTAGAATATTGTGAAAAATTATAACAAAAAATTATAACAAATAAAGGCTTGAAATATCTCACTTTGCATGCTATGAGTCTATATAATATATTAGTTTCACCTTTTAAGTTGAATTACTGAAATAATTGAACTTTTGCACCATATTCTAATTTTTCGAGTTTCACCTGTATATGCATCTGTATTATTTATACTATATTACTGCATTTATGTTATCGTCACTTTCTGTCAGGCCTAAAAAAAAATATTTTCAGAGATGTATAGCAGTTTGCGCTCACGTTGCGGCATCCGTTGGCGAGCTGTTTGGCAGCGGCGTTGAGAGCAGCTTTGGTGCGTGAGTTGACCCCGTCTGTGGTCACTGTGACCACCTTCCGCTGTTTGGCCGGGAGCTGAGAGAGCACTTCTGATTTGAGCCGTCTGAGCATCAGAGACTCCTCCAGAAGAAGCTTGAGTTCACTCAGATGAGACGAGCCGGAGTAATCCCAACCCCACGGGAGCTGCAGGCAGAGATACACCTTCACTACACACCCTTTTCACACTGATCAGCGCTTTTCCCAACTTAACCTGGGAAGTGCCATGTTTACATTTTGATGGGAATGAATTACAATGGATTGAATTGAACAACATACTGATTGCTCAACTCTCAGATGACAAAAACTCCATAAAACAGTTTAAGTTGTAGCCATACTATGTTGACTATCCATAACAGCCTCGCTTTCATTCGTGTTAAATTCAATGTGGAGTCTAACCTGAGTCAGGTCTATGAGTGGCTGCTGCATGATTAAAAATTGCTAATTAAAGTGCGATAAAAAAGTAGGGAGGCGGCGTATTTCATTCACTTGAGGAAACAAAATCTACTCTATTTTTCTGAATTAACGAGTTAATTATCTCAGAATTACAAGATATTTTTTAATGGAAAAAAGTTTTTGCCCTGTTTTTATGAATGAATTAGTTACTCCTAATTTTTGAGATAATCAAGTCATTAATTCAGAAAAACAGATCAAAAACTTTTTTCCATGTAAAATTCTCTCGTAATTCAGAGATAATTAACTTAGCAAATTGTTTATTGTTATATAATTAAACAGAGCAAATTGTTTTTTCCATTAAAAACTATCTCGTAATTCTGAGATAATTAACTCGTTAATTCAGAAAAACAGAGCAAATTGTTTTTCCATGAAAAATTATCTGGTAATTTTGAGATAATTAACTCGTTAATTCAGAAAAACAGAGCAAATTGTTTTTTCCATGAAAAATTATCTGGTAATTCTGAGATAATTAACTCGTTAATTCAGAAAAACAGAGCAAAAACGTTTTTTCCATGAAAAAATATCTCGTAATTCTGAGATAATTAACTTGTTAATTCATAAAAACAGAGCAAATTGTTTTTTTCCATTAAAAAATATCTCGTAATTCAGAGATAATTAACTCGTTAATTCAGAAAAACAGAGCAAAAACTTTTTTCCATGAAAAATTCTCTCGTAATTCAGAGATAATTAACTTAGCAAATTGTTAATTGTTATATAATTAAACAGAGCAAATTGTTTTTTCCATTAAAAACTATCTCGTAATTCTGAGATAATTAACTCGTTAATTCAGAAAAACAGAGCAAATTGTTTTTCCATGAAAAATTATCTGGTAATTTTGAGATAATTAACTCGTTAATTCAGAAAAAGAGAGCAAATTGTTTTTTCCATGAAAAATTATCTGGTAATTCTGAGATAATTAACTCGTTAATTCAGAAAAACAGAGCAAATAGTTTTTTTCCATTAAAAAATATCTCGTAATTCAGAGATAATTAACTCGTTAATTCAGAAAAACAGAGCAAATTGTTTTTTCCATGAAAAATGATCTGGTAATTCTGAGATAATTAACTTGTTAATTCAGAAAAACAGAGCAAATTGTTTTTTCCATGAAAAATTATCTGGTAATTCTGAGATAATTAACTCGTTAATTCAGAAAAACAGAGCAAAAACGTTTTTTCCATGAAAAAATATCTCGTAATTCTGAGATAATTAACTTTTTAATTCAGAAAAACAGAGAAAACATTTTTTCCATTAAAAAATATCTCGTAATTCAGAGATAATTAACTCGTTAATTCAGAAAAACAGAGCAAATTGTTTTTTTCCATTAAAAAATATCTCGTAATTCAGAGATAATTAACTCGTTAATTCAGAAAAAGAGCAAAAACGTATTTTCCTTGAAAAAATATCTCGTAATTCAGAAAAACAGAGCAGATTTTTGTGAATGCAATACGCCTCCGTAAAAAATAATCCGGGTTTGCTGTACTTGTTAGTAGGGCTGCAAAATTTGGCTAAAATTCTGTTATTATATATCAGTACAAATATAAAATTATTATTTTCGGTTTCCGCTCACACTGCCATAGTAACCATGGCAACAGAGGTGGACAACAGGGTATGCGTGCAGTCCTACATTGTACTTCCAGACATGAACCATGAAGATCTGATCAAGAACACACACCTGTAATGAGATGGACGCACCTGTTTGGCATCACAGTAGCGTGTGCCGAAGTCATGGAAGCGTGGGAACAGGGAAGGCCTGACCGCCAGGATCTGAGTGTAGAGTTCGGCCGGTCTGGACATGGCAGGCGTTCCCGAAAGCAGGATCACTCTCTTAGCGGCCTATATCATCACACATCTTTCATTAGCAGCTTTTCATCACTGCATTATTATCTTTTTTTTTTTTTTGTGCAGATGTGTTCGATGTATAAATTAAACCTGGATCAACCAAACCGCAGTGTTTTAAAATTCACCTCTATAAAAGATGCCTAAAATAAGCCTGAATCAGCAAACCTTGAGCAGAGGAAGAGCCGCCCGACAGCGAGCAGTTTTCATGTTCTTCAGGAAGTGAGACTCGTCCTGTACAGAAACAAACAAACAAACAAACAACAAACAGAAAACAGGAAGAATTCAGATCACATCCTGCTGCTGGATCCAGCTTGGAAGAGCTCAAAAGAGCTTTTAAAAGTTTTTATATGTGAAGGATATAGGGATGCTGAGTAGGTGGCTATGTTTTTTAAAACTTTTTGAGAACAAAAAAACAAAAACTCTTGTGCTCATTAATACTGCATTTATTTGATCAAAAATAGGGGAAAAAGACAATACTATTCAGAGCTGGACAAAAATTGCAAACATTCTGTTAGAAGAACTAATTTTGACATCCTACATCTCCCTCTCTCTGTAATTTCTTATTTATATATATATATATATTATTATTGTTATTATTATTATATATTTTATTTTATATATATATATATATATATATATATACACAGGTATATATATATATATATATATATATATGAAGAGTTCAGATGCAAAAGCCTCTAAATGCCATTTGAAATTTTCTTCTTTAATGATGATTTTTATCAAACTTGTATATTTAAGTTCAGTAATTTCACTTAAATAACAATTAATAGGTAATCTTCATTGCCATTTAAGTGAAATTACTGAACTTAAATATACAAGCTTGATAAAAATGATCATTTTTGAAGAAAATTTCAAATGGCATTTAGAGGCTTTTGCATCTGAACTCTTCATATATATATATGAAGAGTTCAGATGCAAAAGCCTCTAAGTGCCATTTGAAATTTTGAGTTTGATGAAAACAGAGCAAAAACGTATTTTCCATAAAAAAATATCTCGTAATTCTGAGATAATTAACTCGTTAATTTAGAAAAAACAGAGCAAAAACATATTTTCCATGAAAAAATATCTCGTAATTCAGAGATAATTTACTTGTTAATTCAGAAAAACAGAGCAAATTGTTTTTTTCATTAAAAATATCTTGTAATTCTGAGATAATTAACTCGTTAATTTAGAAAAAACAGAGCAAAAACATATTTTCCATGAAAAATTATCTCGTAATTCAGAGATAATTTACTTGTTAATTCAGAAAAACAGAGCAAAAACGTTAGCCTGGATTGAGCGCATATTCGCATTTGCAACCTGCGTTTTTTATGCAATATCTCAAAATGCGCATGAAAAATAGGTGATTGAAACATGGGTATAGACACAACGTTCAGTCAGGAAATGAGAGCGATTAGAGCATCTCCGCTCTCACCATAATGATGACACTGAAAGGGCTGGACGGCTGCTGTTTGTCCATCTTGTTGAGCAGGTCGTAGCTGATGATGTTGATGAGACCGGAGCGCAGGCTGTCTCTGCCAGTAACCACCACATTAATGCTGTCGGCTCTCACGGATGGCAGCCACCGGCGGAAAGCCTGAGGGAAAAATCAGTGTCTTTGAGTGACTTTTTCTGCTATTTGTTGATTTGTGTGACTTACAAAGGAACACTGCAAAATCTTCAGCAACTTCCCTTCAAACTTTAAAACATACCATGACGAATCCCTACTGGGGAAGAGGAGGATTTGTCCTTCCTCAAGGGTGCAGCGACGGAAAATATGAATTAATAAATCAGATTTCACATCAGGCATCCGCTTATAAAAAGATGACCTGACAGCTGGTGAGCTTTTCAAGAGTGTTGAAACACAGACGCCATTTATTATCAATTTATTACACTTTTTTAATAAACACACAATTATGAACAGTCCACTATTCTAATGTAGAAAACAAGTGTGTTATGGTACTAACAGAATGGGAGTGATATATTCTACTTTTATTCTCTTAAATATTGAGTATTATTTAATAACGTATAAAGATTATTAGTGCTTAGGTTAACATGTGACCACATATATATATATATATATATATATATATATATATATAATTGTAGCTGTGCTCCTAACTGCTTGAAACCCATGAAAAATATGAAAAATAATGCATCTGTCACGGGCAGTCACACAAATACTGTTTATTGTGAATCTCATCAGATGGAAATAGTTTTTTCTCAGATGAAAATAGTTTTTTTAACCAGTATGATCTACTCTTTTGTTCAGCAAAGATGCATTAAGTTGATCAGAAATGTCAGTGTCTACTTCAAATAAATTCTTCTTTTGTTCTTTTGAACTTTCTATTAATCAAAGAATCTTGAAACAAATGTATCAGTTTCCACAAAATAAAGCGACACGACCGTTTTCAAATTTGAAAGCAGCAAATCATCATATTAAGTGGTTTCTGAAGGATCATGTGACACTGAAGACTGGAGTAATGATGCTGGAAATTCACAGGAATAGATTAAATTTTAAAATATATTTTGAGTTTTAATAACATGTCACTGTTTTTACTGTATTTTTGATCAGACTTGAACAAAAACGGTAGTATAGGTGTGACATGCATCCTCAAAAAGATGTCCCTCCATACTAAAAGTCTAAAAGTAAGTGTGTGTACCTCAGCCCATGTGAAGCGCACGGAGGACGGGGCGACCACCAGCAGAGGCCACTCACTCCTGTAATAGGCAGCGATGCAGATGGCCTGGATCGTTTTCCCCAGGCCCATGTCATCAGCCAGAAGCAAACGGCCCTGTCTGGACACTGCAAAGCTGACACATTAGAAAACATTACATTACATTCATGCATTTGGCAGACGCTTTAATCCAAAGAGCCTTGCATTGCATTGCATTCAAGGTATACATTTCTATCAGAAACCGAACCTATGAACCTAGTGCCATGCTCGATTGTTTTAGCTACAGAAAATGCACTGGTTGCAATAAGTTTCACTAGTTAACATTAGTTAATGCATAAACTAACATGAACTAACAATGAACAATACATTTGTTTGTTAATGTTAGTTAATAAAAATACAGCTGTTCATTGTTGGTTCATGTTATTTCACAGTGCATTAACTAATGTTAACAAATACAACCTTTGATTTTAATAACCTATTAGTAAATGTTGAAATTAATAACTAAGATTAATAAATGCTGTAGAAGTATTGTTCATTCTTTGTTCATGTTAACTAATGAACCTTATTTTAAAGTGTTACCTGTGTTACCTAGTGTTATCTAACCAAGCGATGTGTGGTAATGGAGACCTACTTGACTCCGTCTCTCTGGAAGGGCATGAGGCTGTGTGTGAGATGTTGATCTACGTGTGAGAGATCGGCCTCAGGAAGGACTGGAGCTTGGGACTCGCTCTTCTCAAACTGAGAGGAGAAGGACTGGAGCACAGCGTGAGGTAACGGCTCAATCTCCACCGCAGACAGCTCGTTCAGATCCACCACTACACACAAGACATCATGAGCCAAGAGGGATAGAGATAGAGAAATTGCATGTGCAAAAATTATAAAAAGGTTGCATCAGTGCACAAGTCACATTTTCTTATTACATTCAGAAATTATGTTAAAAAAACAACAGTAAATTAAATAAAACATTTATATATATATAAATACCATATTAATATTCAAACGTATTCATATAATGGTATTCAGAACAGGAATGAAAAATATAAAACAACTTACAAAACTGAAACTAGTAAGAAATAAACTTGAGCTCATGTCATTTGGCACCAATCCAAGTTTTAGATGATTAAAAAAAGTGACTTACTGTATATTAGAGAAAATATGGTACTCAACTTTAAGGCCAAAACATAAACAAGTACATGAATAAAGAATTCATTTAAATCAAATGAACTTACTGAGCTGTCCGTAGTCCTCCAGAAGGAAAGTCCACTTTCTGCTCTTCATGTCTAATAATATTCAAACAAAGAATAAAATGATGACATGATACCTGTCAATGCCTTCTGGAACTTTCCACACACTTCGGTGACCCATTATTTTTTTTTAAAAGCAGCCGAGGCACAAATCCTATGGGTTTTTTGTTTTTTTTTTGGAGTGTGTAAATATATAAATTTATAATATTAAATAAATTAAATACTAAATAAATTAAATATGTAAAAAATATTTCTAACTAAATAAATAAATATTTATATAATATTAAATATAAATAAATACATTTAAAAATATTTTTTAATTATATTATTTAACTGTAATATTTAGTTTGTCGTCCATTTTGCACGCAACCCTGTTACAACAGGATTTTTCTTTTCTTATGCCTTAACATCGTGTCACCCAGGAAGTGACATCATTTAGTTCATCAAATTCAACCACTCGACCCCTGTATATATATATATATATATATATATATAGACATAAATAAATCAAACAAACCTTTGTCTTTCATTTATGGGAAATGTAAGTTTGTCAATAAGAAAATTATTCCAAAAACAGATAAAAAATGATTTGTCACCACTGAGTGGCAACTTAATTTAGGCTAAATCTGTAAGTAACTGTTTATTGCATACCTTTTAAATTGTATAAATTTCATTTGGATGTATATTTTAAGAAATTAAAAAATCTTCTACCAGAATTAATTTTATAAAGATGCCTCATGAGGTTTCAAACCTTATAAAATTAAGAGAAAATAAAACAGTTCATGTAAAAATGTGTTTGACTTTGTCAATTAAATGACCAATTGTTGAAAAGGAAAATCACATTTTGATCATTTATCTACCCAATTCATTGAAAGTGACTTCTTACTTTTTTTTGGCAATACATTTATTTCACTCACCGTAACATTTGGACGGCATTTGCTTGAAGATCCCAATAACATCAGCCTGGTATCCAATATCGACTTCCAGCCGAGAGCGAGACACTAAAACACACTTGCCCCTTATCGTGGCTCCTGGTTTCTGCCAACCCTGACAGAGTCGCATCAGAGCTGCCAGAGCTGCCGCATCTTTAGGGCGACTGGTGGACGCTGAAATATTCAGCCCTTCCATCCCAGCCAGAGGTTTCAGAGAGACGGAGGGGATACTCACTGCCTGCTCCACTGAAACACAAACCAACACCATTACACCCTGCGCTACACCAGATAGATGGAGGGCTGTGCCATCCAAATAAAGCTTTGTTTACATAATATATGTGTGTAATTATTTTGTAATATTCATGAATATATTTAAAAGGTAGGGTATGGGATTTGCGAAACGATTTTGAAAATACACAACTTAAAACGAGCAATCATGCATCTGCAAAACTCAGATGTGCGAGACTGCACTTACTCTGTACCGGGGCGACTTGCACGTACTGTGACTGGGTCACGAGCTTTAAATATGCGCACAAAGGGGACACGAGCGAGAGGGAGGGGGCATGGTACGACCGTTTGATTGACGCACTTACTTCCCAATGATTCTAGGTGGTCTCGGAAATGATTGGCTGGAGTTTTGCCCGTTCCACAGATGATTAAATGCTTAATTTTCATTTCAGTGCTTCTAAGTGGCTGTAAGTGGGTTAGGAAGAGATTTAGGAAAAAAATGGTCAAAAAAGAAAATCACATACCCCACCTTTAAGAAATATTTGCATGTATATATTATCGCGATTAATCGCATCCAAAATAAAAGTTTGTGTTTACATAATACACTGTGTATCATTATTTTATATATATAAATACACACACATGCTCGTATATATTTAAGAAACATTTTCATGTATATATATTTATATATAAATATAAATATTTTATATATAAATAATATTTTTTTCGTAAATATATATGCATGTGTGTATTTATATATATATATATACAAAATAATTATACACAGTGCACCCACATATATTATGTAAACACAGACTTTTATTTTGGATGCGATTAATTGCGATTAATCGTTTGACAGCCCTAATATTTATACATAATTTATATTATATTTAAATATTTTAAATATAAATAACACATTTTTCTTAAATATATACATGAATGTGTGTATTTATATACAAAATATTTATACACACTACACACACATATATTCCGTAAACACAAACTTTTATTTTGGATGCGATTAATCGCGATTAATCGTTTGACAGCCCTAATATTTATATATAATTTATATTATATATAAATATTTTATATATAAATAACACATTTTTCTTAAATATCTACATGCATGTGTGTGTATTTATATATACAAAATATTTATACACACTACACACACATATATTATGTAAATACAAACTTTTATTTTGGATGTGTTTAATCGTCCAGCACTAATTTGAATAGATGTGCAGGTAATAGATATACTTAAATACGCTCATGAAGACGTACTGAGCATCTGGTAGTCCTCAAGGCTGAAGTTCCACATTTTTGTCGCAGGATCTGTGACAGCAGAGAAATGACAAATATTATACACATTTTCCTAAGCATACACTACCATTCAGAAGTTTTCTGATCGGTACAATTTTTTATGTTTTTAAGGAAGTCTCTTCTGGACACCAAAGCTGCATTTATGTGATTAAAAATACAAAAAAGCTGCAATATAGTGAAATATTATGACATTTTTTATTGCATTATATAGGAAAGTATACTTCTTTAAAAAACATTAAAAATATTACCAATCAAAAACTTTTGAACGGCAGTGTACATACGCGCGCTTTAAACTCTGTGTAAATGGACACGTCGTCTGTACTCACCATAGTTCTTGGAGGGAATGCTTTTGAATACCGTGATGAGGTCAGCATGGTAGCCGATCTCCACTCGAAACCGGTTCTCTGTGTGCGACACACATCTCCCTTTCATGGACACCGTCGGCTTCTTTGTAGGGATATTTCCTCCTGCTTCTGGGAGTTTACATGCTCGCTTTCCTCCTGTTGTCGGTTTGTCCGCCTGTCCATAAAAGCTGCAAGTCGGAGAAGCAGTGTTGGAAGTTGGAGGCGTCGTCTTGGTACAGGGACCTTTAGAGTTTAAGGGCTGAGTCTGCAAAAATGAGCATAGACCTTAAGACACACACACCCAAAACACACTTTTCTGCCTAGTAATCGAGTATGATATAAACTTTATGTGTAAATGGCACCTTTAAATGAGTCTCTTAACCCCCCAAAACACTACTGTATTATACAAATAATTCTGTTATGTATAATAAAAGCAATTATGGGCACACAATTCAAACACTAACTTAAAACTACAAAATGTATACAGTTGAAAGGAGTTTTTTTTAATGATCATGTATGTCTAAAGTATTTTTGGTTGAAGTAGTCATTTGGTAAGTGATTGACAGCCAGCCTCGTATTTGACATTTCTTAAAGGGATAGTTCACCCTAAAACTGAACACAAAATAAGATATTTTGAAGATTGTTTATAGCCAGACAGTTGATGAACCCCATTGACTTCCATAGTATTTTTTTCCATGGGTCCATCAACTGTTTGGTTACCGACATCCTTCAAAATATCAAAAGATTGTGTGAGCAAATAATGACATAATTATAATTTTTGGGGAAACTATCCCTTTAAAGGGTCAGAGGTCACTCTTCCGCCAGAACTAGACTTGTGTAGATCCGTTACCGTAACATTTACATTTATTCATTTAGCTGACACTTGTATCCAAAACGACTTACAATTGCTATATATGTCAGAGGTCGCACGCCTCTGGAGCAACTAGGGGTTAAGTGTCTTCCTCAGGGACACATTGGTGTCTCACAGTGGATTCGAACCCGGATCTCTCACACCAAAGGCATATGTCTTATCCACTGTGCCATCAACATCCCACCGATTATAGTTTATAAAGTTATAAATGCTATTATAAAGCTTGTAAACGCCAGGATATATTTAATATAACTGTTTGGCTGACAGAAGAAAGTCATATACACCCTAAGATGGCTTGAGGGTGAGAATTTTTGGGTGAACTAACCCTTTAAGTTATTAATCAGAGTAATTTCTGAGTTCAGGAATGAGTGCCCACCTGTCGTGCTGCATGATCAGGTGCCCCTGGATGTGCCCGATCAGATGCAAACTTCTTTGCTGGGCCTGGATCTGCAGAGATGGGCTGTGTGTGCTGGGTTTGGGCAGATCCAGAGGTAAGTTGAGCCTGTTTCTCAGCTCTTCTGGCCAGAGCTCGCTTTCTGTTCTCTTCTATCCTCCGCTGCTGCTCCGGTGTCAGACTCAGAGACATTGCTGCTGCTGCTAGTGATTAGCACAAAATAGCACAAACATAAGAGACACCCCCAAACACACACACAGATGAAGTTTTTGCTCCTTGCCACTGTTGCCTTTGGCTTACTTAGTTGGGGACACTTAATTTCAACAATTTTATTGATCTGTCTGCATTGACACCATATGAGAACTGAACTGAGCTGGACGATGACGTCACTGTTTTCTCCATAGCAGCTATATATATATATTTAAAAGAATTTAATTAACTTTTTTACAACCAAAAAAATGGTTACTTAACTGAACTATGACGCTATTTTCTTCTAGAGCTGCTGTACAGCAGAAACAAACTTTGTTGCATTATTTTCCTGTTATCGTAAAGCTGCTTTGAAACAATCTTCACACACACACACACACACACACACACACACACACACACACACAGGCTTATGAGTTTCTTCCTACAACGCATAACACATACATGTCGTATTTTAAGCGTTCACATATTAACATACATCAACGTGTTACTGAAATCTTCTCAGTCTGCTTCCAGTACCGCTGTTTACATATTCTGCTTCTTGATGTTGTCGCAGATCAGACCATAGAGGGTATAACACTGACAAATCAAGTTGATTCAAACGAGTTATTTAATGTTTTTTTAAATAATAATGTTAACGAACGCGTGAAAATCAGGCTAAATATCATTGGTTATAGAGATAAACTTGATGCTTGATCATCTACTTCGAAAAACGCGGTGAGGAGGATATGACGGAAAGACGTCACGCAACTTAACGTCAGAGCGCTGTCGTAATGTGATGGACGCAAGCGTTCTCCAATGGGGAGGCCAGATGTGACCGGTGGGCGGGGCAAAGAGTCAACACGCTAATTTTAATCATGGTAATAATACAATTCTTGGTAAATGTGCTCGAAATTAAGCTCTTTTGTCACCGCTGCCTAGAGAAACAGGTTTGTCAAATTGTATAACACAAGTTATACTGGAGTTCAGGGCAAGTTGTCACTTTTAGGCTACTCGATGAATATTTTTAAAGATACTTTTTGCCAGCGAAATGACTGTGGGAAAGTGTCAACCTGGATTCGCCCCTGTAAGATTTTATGTTTAAAAAAATCACGAAAAATAATAATGTAAAAGGTAACATAAAACGATTATTTTTGGCCAACATTATAATTAACCAAATGTAGGGTACCTATATGAAAATACAACACTGATAATTACTAAAGCACAAAACAAAATAATTTTTTCAACAATAGATTTGATGAATTCTGTGATGTTTTGTGGCATTACCATTTTTTTCTCACTCTGAAGCATCCAAAATTACACAAAACGGTTTGATAATATAAAAAAGTCAAATTATGGTAAAGAAGAACTAATCTATAACTTTAGCACCTTTGTTATCCTGTTCAATTTTTGTCAGAGTGCAAATAATTCAGGTTACAGAGTTAAAAATAAATAAATAAAAACAGACTGATAGCCAACTTCATCATCATGTCCCTCTCCCTCCTCCCGTACCATCCGCGCGCGCGTGACGTGTGTTCGGGAAGCGGGAGCTGTCCCGGGAATCACAGTGCTGAACCCGCAGCATCAGACACACACACTCCGACACCGAGCAGAGGAGGAGAACGCCTCACGGATTATACACACACGAACGATCCCTGATCAACTGAATGATGAAGTGAGCTCGAGATCTGATCCCGAGAGGAAACATCACTGATCGAGGCTCAGATTCCTGAATGATTTCACACCAGCAGCGAGGAATGCGAGACACACACGTGTTTTACTTTGCTGGAGGAAATACACAGACGACAAAGCCAATGGAATAAACCGATCATATGGCTTCTGACACCTGTTTACTGCCTTTCTATTATTTTTTACCTAATAATGCACGACGAAATATAGCCTAGGCTCGATCACTGACTGATAATGGCACTTAATTCATTCACAACTTCTCACGTGCAATCAATTCTTAAAAGTGCATTGAACTCAGTGCAGGAACTGTAACGCACACACATTCAATTTAAGTTCTCGATTTTACCGGGTTTTGTTGGAATACCATGGCTATTCACTCTTCACCGTCTGAACTCGGAGGGAACCTGCATTAGTTGATCTGGATTCTTCCCGTTCTCGGATGTTGAGCGGTCACGGCATGTTGAAGAGCCGCTGTTGCTTTCTCTTCCGTGACCTCAAGGTGTTTCTGCTCGGGCCACAGGATCACACAAGCCCCATGAACGGACAAACGGCCAGAATCAGCCCGTATGCCTCAGAAAAAAACAATACCTTACGAGCCCACCGGCTCCGGGACTGGAGCGCCCCGTCCACGGAGGACTCTGCCGGGCTCGAGGCACCTGAAGGCGGATCCGGGTGGACGGGCCCCGCGGTGGCGGATGAGTTCTCCAAGGACCGGAGGGAAGACCGGTTCTCCTTCATCAGCTATGCAGAAGGTACCCCGGTGTGCAGGATATGCTTCCAAGGGCCGGAACAGGTAATAAAAAAAAAAAAATAAAAAAAATGCTGACTTAAATTTTTAAGTACAAATTTAAGTGTGTTTATCTTAAATTACACTTAACTGACTTGGATTTTTATTTTTATTTTTTTTATTTTGTATAACCTACAACTTATTTGATGAGTTTTAGCGATGTAAAAACATGTTGTCATAATTTATTGGTCATTTAATTGTTTTACAGTATAAATGAGGATTGAGCTCATGAGTCATTTAAAAAGTTGTAGTTTTATGTGGTTGCACTGATTTATTAATATCAGCTCAATTGTAGTCCTATTGTTTAAGGGGAACGACTATCCATCTACAGTAAGTACACTGAAAAAGTATAAAAATGACTTATAAAATATATAATAATAATAAAATAATAAACATATATAAATATACATTACATAAAATCTCTATAAAGGAAACAAATAATAGGCTAGGCGAGGATTGAGCCATTTAACCATGCTAAATAGTTTTATGTGGTTCCACTGATTTATTAATATCAGCTCAATTGTGTTGAGTAAAATTAACAACTATCCATCTAAGTTCACCGTAAACGTAAAAAGCGAACTGATTGTTTTAAGTTCATTGAAACTAATACAAAGGAGATTGGTTTAATCAACAGAAACTCAGAAATATTATGTTATCTGAATCACATTAATCATTTAAGTTGATTTGACAAAAGAAATAAATCTTGTTATAAATCGTGTTAATTTCAAAGATAGTGTTATACTTTATTTAACACCTGTATAATGCATCATAAATGTATTTTGTAATGCATTGAATGATCTCATGAATAAACTAAAACTCATTGTTACACCTTTAGTAATAATGTATTAAGGACAAGCAACCTATTAGGAATCTGCAAATATTATAATGCATTTAGTATAACACATTAATATAATGCATGTAACTTATTTATGAAAAGATAAAATGATATCAATTTTGATGTGCTTGCACATCAGGTCAATTGTATTGCGTAACTATTTATCTAATTTTGTTAGTCAAACTTAATATGTGAATTTTGAAAAAGAAAAGTGTAATATATGACATAGACCAAACATATAACATAAAAATATTTACATCATGTAAACAGCAGTTAAACATAACACGATCAAAAAAACAATCTGTAATACAAAACAGCGTTGCAGAGATCTGATGTTAATTACCAACAACTATTAAAGTGCACCTACCTAATTAAATATTCATGAGCAGGAGCCAATGACCACGCCCCCCAAGAACAATGCAGACAGCACTTCAGATGAAACTTCTCAATTCTTATGACGTACTTTAGTTCTTTCACATAAGTTTGCTCAAAACACAGGGAATGTATATTTAAAGCAAATTTTATTATTTAGTCAAATGAAAAACATATTTAAAATTAATCAAAGCGGTTTACATAATACATATTTGAGACCAAATTCAAGATTCAAAACATCAAAGATAAGGATACTCTCAGTCGGCCAAACTTCAGTGGGATTCTTCTCATACTTTCGACCTTTATTTCCAAATAAATCCTTTTGTTACAACCGGGCAAGTCAAAAAATGTGTGAAATTTCATGGAAATAAAATTATTTTACAATTTTAGTCATGCATTTACCATGAGAAATTTCCAGCAGGAATAGTTAAGTTCTTATTCACGAGTCTATAAACGTCCATGATTTTTGTATGTTTAATTCATTTACATTAACGGTGATATTGAAATGGCCTGATATTTCCAGGTAGCCGTGTTTAACCGAACCTCATGATTGTAAGGTCAAGGCCCTGCAGTTGCCAAAGGAGTATTTACACTTCTTAATGCTTCTTGTTTTAGGAAAACTGCAGCTCTGAGCAGGCCTCATGAATTATTCATCGACATATGCAAATTGTTTCCACTTCAAAAACCTCTGCACCGTCTTCACCCAAAGGGAAGGTGATTCACCAGAATTTACAACAGAACGACATTTATTTCACTGATACGTTTAAGCTCGTGCCAAGTCAGAGTAAATGAAAAACTGTAGGAGTGTTAAAGTAACTGTCATGTTACCTGAGATGAGCCTCACCTGTACTGAAAGAAGGAAACCTGAGCCGAGTCAGCAGAGACGGATCCATTACTTTCCTCCTGAGAGGGTTACAAGCAAAGAGCTTGTAGCCCTTAAAACTAATATTTGATCACCAAAGTTACATATTTACTTGAAAAAAAGTATTCATGCCTTGAAATAGCTTGAATGTAACTCGACACCCTTGCCTTATTTAGTGTATGTGGTGCTTTAAATATGCAAATGAGCCCCACCTTCACTTACTCACTCAGAGATCCACTGGTTGATGATCACACGTTGTTCTGATTGGTTACAATGTCGTTTGTGACGTCAGAAACACCAGCGATGTTTTTGAGACTGTCTTTGGTTCACTGCAATTTTCAGGAGAAAATACACAACTTATGAATTTACACCTTAAATCATATTTAAAACACCATATAAACAAAATTAAAAAATTGACTTAGCTTATAGAGGAGACCGGGGCTAGTTGTCACACAGTAAAACCTAACTTAAAACCTTCATACTGTAGAATGCATTAAAAAGTGCTTTGTAATGCATTCTATGATCTCATGAATATTTTAAATAATACATTATAATATGCATCTATTCATTGTTACATCTTTAGTATAATGCATTCACTGTAAAAAAATATCATTGGTTTAACTTAAAAAAGTAAGTAACCTGGGTTGCCTTAAAATTTTAAGTTGATTGAACTGGAAAAAGTGAGTTAATACAATGAAGGAGATTAATTTAATCATCAGAAACTCAAAATAATAAGTTATCTCAACTAAATAAATTACTATAAAGTTGATTTGACAAAAGAAAATATGTTGTGATAACAAATCTTGAAAATATTTTTTACAGTGTTGTAATGCATTCTATGATCTCATGAATTTTTGAAATAATACATTATTATATGCATCTATTCATTGTTACACCTTTAGTATAACGCATTCACTGTAAAAAATATTGTTGGTTTAACTTAAAAAAAGTAATACAATGAAGGAGATTAATTTAATCATCAGAAACTCAAAATTATGTTATCTGATCTAAATAAATTATTTAAGTTGATTTGACAAAAGAAAAAATGTTGTGATTACTAATCATGAAAATATTTTTTTACAGTGTTAAAACAGGAGAAATATTATAATGCATAATAACATTATAATACACGTAACTTTGTTTATAATTATTTACGAAGAGATATTGTGCATTGTAACGGATGTTATGAATACCTACACGATATGATCAGTGAGTTATGACAACATTGCTTTTAAGTTAAGCGATTTTCAACCATTTTTGCTGAAATTACTTAAGTTGATTGTACTTAAAAATGTAAAGCAGAAACTAAAATAAAGGCTTTATTTAATATTTAATTCAATTCATTCGTTTTAATATCTGTTGACCGAAACAATGATTTGTTGAAAAGGTCAATGTGACTTAAATGAATGGTATCAATAACAGCAGACGTTATGAATCGTTTTAGGCTCGCAGCATCTGTGTTTATGAATCACAGAAAGATCCTCTGAGGCGCTCTGTGTTTTATTAACAGCTCCATAATTATAGTTTGAATTCAGATTTAAGCAAACCCATTTTCCTCATGCTATTCTGAGATTGTCGCCCCAAAGCGAGCAGCGTGGTGTCTTTGAGAAGCTCTGCTGTAAGTGTAAAGAACAGGCAAACCCGACCCGAGGGAATGATTTCAGACGATTGTTCCAGTTAGAGACTGATCAGATCTTCTCTCTTGAGCTTTTTGTGTGTAGAGATGAAGCAGAACTGATGTCTTACACACATCGTGATGGAGAGACGTGTCTGGATGAAGGGCAGAGCTTTGATTTCCTGTCTTTTATCATTGTCTGACTGATTCATGGCTGTTTTTCTGCTGATTCAGCGCTGGGGTTCATTGGGCCGCTGACAGATGCTTTGAAAAAACACCCTGTTTAAATGCGTAACACTGAGTAACAGCGCTCGGGAGTGTGCGGTTGCATCCTTCAGACGGCTTTGACTGGTGTATTGTTTCAAAATGTAATGATTGTTCACGTCACATTGCATTATCCAGACATCTTCATCTTCTCAAATGCATCTCGACTAGATCTGGGTGTGGGTTCATGGCAAGTTCAGTTCTCTAAAGCATTTGCAGTGGAAGCACACACAGTTTCCTAAGACTTAAAGGGATACTTCAGGATTTAGCATTGAGTTTTGTATTAGTAGAAAACATGTAGTATTTTCAAATTACCGTGCTTTCAAACCTCATATCCCCCTGAGACGAGAGATTTATGTATTTTTTGTCTGAAAAAAATCCTCAGATGACGCAAAAATCATCATTTTACAGTCAGTTGTAGAGTCCGTGCCGCATGTCCTCAACCCGCCCATAGAGGGCGATCTCACTCACAGAATGAACACATAGTGTCGGCCATCTTTGTTTGGAAGCTAAGCTAGCAGGCTCTTGTTCTGTGGAGAAAGCTGAGTAGTAGGGGTCATAGATATCTTTATAAAGGCTAGATATGTCGTCCGCGCTGCTGGCCAATGGAGGTCGACGTCTGCACCTGGCGGCCATCTTGTCACAGGCAGCTCGCTCACTCGTAACATTGTGTTAATGGTACGTGTACTATTTAAATGACCATAACTTGCTCAATTTTCTACCGATTTTCAAACGGTTTGGTTTGTTATTAACGTCAGAGATGTAGTTATGACACAGCATACTTATGAATAATAAGTGTATAAATAAATAATCATCCAGATAATTATAGCCACGTTAATAACGTTTGTAAGAAACCAAACCGTTTGTAAATCCGTCAAGATTTCCACGAGATTAGAGCATTTGTGTTCGTGTTGACCAATCATCTTACATCAGCTTGTCTGTGACAAGATGGCCGCCGGTGATGACGATAGAAACTCCGCCGTAACACATCTAGCCTTTATATAGATATCTATGGGGTTACCATCCTCTTTTTCACGGACATGTCCGGCCGTCGATGC